TTTTCCACTTTATATACCTTTATATAGATGTGTATAAGAGACAGAAATATGGTACTGTAATAATGAATTAATGAATATCTCAAGTTTCTTAATACCTGTCTCTTATACACATCTAGATGTGTATAAGAGACAGATTATATATTATATGCCTACAAATATCGAAAATATAACGAAAATAGCAAAAATTAACCAATTTAAAATATAAAAAAGGTATGACCTATGACTATATACAGTTAATAAATATAGTTAAAAGTGCAACATAAATTTAGACTTTTGATTTGAAGCATCGTATTGCAAAAGTATGAATGAGTTGCGAAATCTGGAGGTACGGCATAGAGTTGAAATGAAATGCAAATGATTGGACGGGTGTATGCATAAAGTAATAATGGAGTTTATGAAGGAATTGCTAGCCTAGAATGATGTCATGATGAAGTGGCCCAGGGTAGCCTCTATATAAATTCTCCATTAGCATTTAATATAAATCGTTATAATAATAACATAATATTATACCCACCTATTGCCGTAGACGTCGCATCGAACTCTTTTTGTAACGTCATCAGAATCATGCTAACCGTGTGAATAACACCAACAATGCCGACATTGAGAACGAAAACACAAACAGCAATAGACCATCCGCGTGTATTTTGTATACCCATTGTTGAGGCAGCCGAAGTTTGTTTACACTGAGATGGTTTAGTACTGTAATATAAGCACCTTGTTCCGACGATCAACCCGCAGTGAATGATGCGAAACAGTTATAAGCGAATGCTTCTTCTACTAAACAGATTGAACGCTTTTGCTGACTTTATCATTAGCATGATTTGCTAAAGATACAAAACAAGACAGTTTATGAATACAAGAGGGAGGACAGCAACGGCGACGGCGACTCACACAAATCTCAAATGAACGCTTTCGGTCATTTCTCACCAATAAAATAAAATTGGTAATACTAATAATCGTTCAAGGCTACACGTTGAGGGCAGATTTCGAAAGTATAAACGCTACAGTACAGTACACCGTGTCCTGCCCATGAACTCTGGCGGTGACTAAGTTGCGTAAATCAACCACGGAGACAGACGCTAGGTCTATATATTAAATGTTTTAATAGCGAAAACATATAAATCTGGATCAGTAGGTCTTCATCCTCCAATAATCTAATGAACAGTGGTGGCTTCAGACATTTACCAAGAGTGATCCCAACAATCCGACAAAGGGGGGGGGGGGGGGCCAAAACCTCCCGGAATAAAAATCCCTGGCGAGTATATATATATAATCAAAGAAGCTGCATAGGCAGTGTGACATGATATAAAATCAAAAGCAACACGGTTGTGACCTGCCTCAGAAATTTATTTGATACGACATGTTTCGGGCATAGCCCATCATCAGGTATGAAAAGTTGTGACAAAAACAGATGAATATTAAATGCTCAGGCCATTGGTTTTCCACCGCTTTCTTTAACCACGATAAAATCATATTCAATGGAAAATAAGCGCCTCGAGGTTGTGTCAACGTGAGGCGATATAAATCCAAGATTATTAGAATTATTATTATCAAATAAAAAGGAAACTAACTACACAGTACATTGTTATTAACAGCAATGGATTAGAGTCCTACAGTAAACTATCTTTTCTAAGCGTATGTTCATCCAACTTAATATACATCTGTCAGCTTTGGTATTTTTGTTAGTGTACTTCCTTCGCTGTTTATATAAATGGCAACTTTTATAATAATATTAATTTTTTTCTGCACACCACGTAGATACTCTGAAAAAACTGTTGTTTATGTTGAGAAAAAACTTTTATAATGTCAAGGTCAGATTTTGCCACCACGTCTTTAAAATGTATCAATTTTTACGTCGCATTTAAAAAAAAATATCACAAGACCCATCATGGTGCTCAGTTCCAGGCAGGAAACAGCTAGGGCGTTTCCCTGTGTTCCCAAACCCCATTCATTTTAATCCTGGCGGTGTATACACCGTGTAGGCCTGACGTCCTCATACCGCACAGTTTAGATGAGCAGATCGTATTGCCGATTGTGTTTTTAATAGGCTTTTTAATGAATAGCCCATGTTAAAAAATTAGTAAACCCAGCGCGAACTGATCAGCCTCAATAAAACAATTTAATTCGACATAACAAATACTTGACCCTTAATAACCCGATAAGGATTATTGAAAGTGAGTTCAGTGTGTGGTTGATTGAATAGATGTATTTAAATTTATAGATAGCTCAGTTCCTTCTAGAAACGACTATTGGCAGTCACAGCTTTAACTGAAGTTATTTTTACGAGGGCTTTTAATTGTACAGTTAAAAGTCCTTGATTTATCAAAATATTTATAAAATGGGATTAGCTTAAATTTCACCGATATGCATTAATAATTCTTGATTTATATAGAGGCTGACATTGAAACAAATTTGGGTCAGTCGCTTTGAATTGTGGTAAACAGGATTGAAATTATTTTTAAATACTATAGGCCTATATTAACAAGAGTTTGGCAACCTAAGCATTTACGCATATAAAGTAAAAATAAATATGGTACTGTAAAAATTAATTAATGAATATCTCAAGTTTCTTAATACTCTTTAAATACAATATCTAAAACAAAGGCAGATTCATTTAAAAACCATAATTTTAATTGTTTTCATTCGCACATATTTTACATATAAATATACAGTACATATTGCATTTTATTAAATTTTATCAGCTTGCATATTCATTCGAAATATATATTGTTTTATGCAAAGCGAAATAATAATCTGTTGTCAATTATTTCTAAATTAATTTACAAGAGAATAAGCTCTTAAAAAACAATACATTGAATAAAAAAAAAAAAATCAAAAATGCAATTACCATATTTATTTGAATAAACGCCCGGGGGAATATATTGTCGAGAAGACTTTTTGAAGGGGTGCTTATTCAAGGAAGGCGTTTAATTTTTTGGATGTAAAATGGATACCTATATACTCAAATAAATGCCCCTTAATTTCACTTTAAATGTGGGTGGAACTACGAAACATAATTACCATCAAAATGTGTTACTGCATGATCATAAAGACTTATTGATCCCATCCAGGTTAGAAAAAATTTTAATTGTACTGGAGTAGAACATTAATAGAAAGTGTTTAGAATAATGTTGCTTCCATTAGATTTGTTTAGTCATTTCGGGGAGGGGAGGTGTGGGGTCGCTTACTTGAGAAAAAAAAAATACCTTGAGGGAGGCATTCATGCCAAATGTGGTTCTTCAAGGGGGGAGGGGCAGTATTATCATAAATTCATAAATTATCAAAGTATTTTCATGAATTAAGAAGATCAAAATAAATAAATAAGAATAAACTATAAATAAAATCAATTGAATGAGTTGCCATTAGCTTTACACCACTGCTGAATTGCAAATTTTGTTCCCGTACTGATCCGTTCTACATCTGGACCTGTTGGGGGTGCTGTTGCAAAAAGCATTGATGTCTGCATGACCTGAATAGTTGGCTGGTTTGTGTCTGCTCTTAAAACAACTGACCTGAAAGATAATTATTTAAAAAAAATGCAAATGGACATAGTAATAATAACAATATTAAAGTTATATTCAAATGGCATATATAAGGTTTGTACATTACAACAAGAATATATTTAGCCTTGACATTTAATAGACACAAATTATAGGCAGTACATGCAATATGTGCTATATAAATGACAATTTATTATTATTATATTACACTATACAAAATAACGTACTGGAATGTTTGAGGTAGATGACAAGGTAACTCCCGCATTGGTTGATTATTGTCAGCTGACATAGCAATCTCACTTAGACAGTCCTCGGACAGCCAAGCAGCTGCGTCTGTTTCGTTCGGATCCAATGCTAACCTTTCTTGCAACTTTATATGATCTTCGTCCACGATAGCAATTTGGTATATCACCATGTGGTGGCGCTTCGGCAAGCCTTGTGACAGCATAGCAGGGTATACAGACTAAAAATATATTTAAAAAAATGAAATATAAACAATTTTTTGTGATGAAGTTTAAAAGGTAATGATATTTATATATTCTATTCTAATCATGTTTAGTAATGGTATCATCATCAGGCATCATCACCATTCTCAACCTGCTTTGCTTTCACATTGCACCATTAGGAATTTAAGTAGCTTCACATACTATGATTCCAGATTTATTTGCTTCCAGATTACGCCACTGAGAATACAGAGAACTGCTTGGAATACTGTAGAGTGGCATGATTTGATTTGACATGCAAGCAACAGACCGGTTTTAATGACAATCCATTCAAATTGATTGGAAATATATTCCATTACATAGGTATACGCCACCAAAAACAATGCTTGTGTTCAATGCCTTGTCTTTAGATTCATAGCAAATCATGTGCAACCCCCTCTACTAAAAAGAAATATGTGCTGTGCCCAAGGACACAAACAAGGGAATAGCCTGCCCAAGGACACAAACAAGGGACTAGCCTCAGATTTGAACCAAATATTTGAAAGCAAAAAGCCTTAGCCGTGCACCACATAATTTCCGGATATATTATTATTTGCCAAGTATATCAGCATACCTCCCACAAGGCAAGAACTTTGATTGAGATGCAATCTTCTGGTTTGATTCGGAGACCTGTTTCCTCTTCTAATTCTCTCAGCCCTGCTTCTTGTAACTGCAGGAAGAAATAAATATAAACATTTATTTAATATTAAATTTGGTTCTGTGTAATCACAAGCTACATTCAGTCTAATGCATTTATGACCTTTAAAGTTATCAGAATGACTCAGACATAGCTTCATTTTTAATTAATTTTTAGCAAAAAATTTCCACTTTATATACCTTTGTGTTTTATTAATGACATGCCAGTTTTGAATCTTGAATCTTCAAATGCGTATCAGAATTCTTGAATTTATATATTTCTGGTTATTGTTAGGTGATATTATACCAAATATACAAAATCAGCAATTGCTTTTTACATGGCCTTACTTTTAAGTAATTCACATTCACATTCACTGTTGAACAAGTAAATTTCTACATAATAGTAGACGCTTCAAGGGCTTCGCCTCCTTGAACACTTTTAAATGATTATGACGCCTGAAACAAAGACCACAGGAGTGGAAGGGGAGCATTAATATAAGTCACTATTAGGATTTAGCTCCAGTATGATAGATTCTAAATGAAGCTGTGTTATTGGATAACTCCTCAGGATGTTTATATTGTAAACATTTTTCAGGATTATTTTTAGTCCCACACTACTCTAGTAATGTTCAATTATAACACATAATTTTGTTCAATTTCCACACATTCATATTCAGCAGTATGTACACTCACCACTTTCAGGATGGAATGATGCTTTATAAACTTCATAGGTTCCTTCATGAAGCTTAGGAAGTGGAGTTATTTTTTAGTCATGAGAAAGACCTGCAATGACAGGGGAACCCAGGACTGGAAAGCCAGCATCTTAATGAACCACTGAGCTACAGTTCCACTCCATTGCACATTTGTTGGATATGAAAACATCCCTAAACATACTGTACTAGCAAAGTTTACTCAACTGTTTCATTGGCTTCAACATGGCCACCAGGCGGAACCCAAATGCCTGGAAAGTTTCTTAGATGCTTGGCTCGTCTGGTCATTAACAAGTGTCTGTCCGATGACTGCAGTAACGTCGCAACACCAACATCAAAGCCTCTTGAAATCGTTTCAGCAGGTATCAGCTTGACATCAGACTCTGTCAATGCATGCATAGGACAAAACGATGGATGCTTGAAGAAAACACAAAATAGATTAGTATCATATCAATTTTAAAACATGTAGTAAATTAATATTTTTTATGAATTAATATTTTTTAAATCAATCAATAAAAAATATGTAAGAAATAAATAAAGGCCATGTGTAATTGAAGATGTTTATATTTTCAGCATTTTATCAGAAATGATGTAGGTTTACTTAATTAAGAATTGGAATTAGAAACAGGTCACTTTTAGCCAAACTGGACTTAGTCTTAAAGAGAACCAACCTTGACAAGAACTTTTTCATCTCCCTCATTGGACAGCACAACAAGTCCATCTTGTAGACTGCAACTTAGCTTTGTAGTTTCTCCACTAACACCGAAGTAATCAAAGACGCACTATGGTAAAAATGTACTATATAACATATCAAGAAAAAATTGAAATTGGTGGAAAACTTTCAACGATATTTGGTTTAAATTTTAGTTTTATTATTCAGGGAGGCACAGTGAGAGCTAGGGTGAGACATGAAAAAAAAAACTAAAAAGTGAATGAAAATAGCACTTTTTAGACAGTACTAGTCTGGATCAGGGGTGAATAAAATAGTTGTTGTAAAGTTGTAAATCGCTACTGTAGGAAATGCATTACGAAAATAGCACGGCCGAAATGAAGGCGCGACCGAAATGATCGGATACCGACCTGAATCATAACCACATCATATACATTGGTTTATATTACGAGATAGGTTAAGGCCTAGTTTTTGGCAAAGTCACTTTGTTTTGTATTAATTCAGGCAATAGTATTAATAAAACAAGCAAAACTTGCATAAAAAAAACTTAAAATTAGAATCTCTACTTTTCTTAGGCCCATACCTGCCAACCCTACCGATTTAGGCGGTAGGCTACCGATTTTCTCACTTTTCTACCGCCTACCGAATTACCAGGCTGTCCCTACCAATTTTTAAAAATTGAAAATCAACATTATTTTATGCTAAGTTCTCAATCAAAATAATCTTGTTCGCCGTCAGAATGATGCGCTACCCTTAATTTAAGCCTCCGGCCACACTATACACACTCATAATATAATATTTGGCGCCTGGTGCAGTAACCTATGGTAACTCGAGGCGTGCGTGGTGTTGAGTTTCCTAGGAGTAGTGTGGGATCACACGAGGCCACGATCTGTCATCTGATCCTATTTTTATAGTTTTTGACCAACTGAACATTTCCATCCTTTCCATTTTTTGTACCTCTAAAATCGATTATCTAAACCCTTAAATTTACTGAACTGTTATAGCTGCGCCCCCTGGACCCCCCATTGTTGGGAGGGGGAGACCCCCCCCCCCTACCAAACTCAGCCCCGCCTCGGGCTTCGCACTCGGATGGCGCTACACGCCATTTTCTCAATAACTTCCTACCTCTTTTCTTCTTTTAAATGTTGGCAGGTATGTAGGCCCCTATTCCTATTTACCACAGGAGGCTCTCGGCCTAGTAGTAGTAGGACTAGGACTGTTCTAGGTTTACCTAACCTATGTACCACTGGCCTAGGTAACTAGGCTACCAGGCCTAGGCCTAGTACTAGTAGGCTACTAGGCCTAGTTAGGCTAGGCAAGCTAGCTAGGCCTAGGCCGGGTAGAATAAGCCAGGAATTATAAATTAAATGTTCAGGCCTAGCGAAAATGATTTTTAAGTATAATCTTAAAATCAAGTAAATGTAATATAAGGTTATTGTTTTTATAATTACTTGCTGAAATGGTGCAATTTCTACGCTATGAGAGCCTTGTTTTCGATATCCAACTAAGATCCTTCTTGAATTCATGGAGGCAGCCATTTCGAGCCCAACAGTTGGAATTTGCAGCATTCATAATAACTCTAAATTAATATGGTATAAATACATTAATTATTATAATTTCAAAAAATATAAAAACATTTTATTTGAAATAAATATTATAATAATTTATTTTGTGGTCATGTTCGAGATATCTTTATCAATAATCAGAAAAACTTTTTGTCTTGATTGCAGCGCCTAGTAGGTTAATTAATAACGAGAGAGGGCGGTCTATATTTTATTATTTTCTCCATGCTGCGCTTGATGTAAACATCGATTGATGAAGGAATTCTAGGCCCTGGCCAGGGTAACGTCTGAAATGTCAAAGACTCAGTGTAAATTAGGTGCACTACTCATGCAAGATCATTATGGAGAGGTGGTCGAAAAAGTATGTACTTGCTTAGTGAAAAATGGTGCGAAGCCTTGTAGGTTGCTCGCAAATGAAACACAGCTTAAACTGGAGCAGGTGAGTGAGGGAAAACGACCAGCTAGGCCTAGCTAGGCTAGACCTAGTCTAGGCTACGTTTGTAGTTGATAGGGTAAGAAGTAGGCAAGGCTCAGACTTATGGTGGGCAGCTTAGTGGTGTAGGCCTAGACTTACCTATATAGGTATTTATGAACCTATAAGATATCGATATAAAGTCTATACAAATTATATTAATAGTCTAAAAAGTATGTATAAGAAAGTCTATAAAAAGTATATATATAAAACTCATATAAAAAATGCCTATAAAACTCTATTAAAAACCTATAAAAACATATTTTCATGAGGAAAAACTCATGCCCTCATGCATAAACTGTTTAGAGAAAACTGGTAGAAAGTGCATTGCCAGGAAAAATGAAATTGATACACTACAACTACATCAAGAATCCCCATCAAAGAAACCTTACAGTTGACAATTCAACATGTTTCTCAGGTATTGAGATGTCTACATCGATTTCACCTACTGTATAATTTGACTAAAATTAGAAAAATTATAATTTCTTTTATTTTTTTTTATTGATTCCTAATATATATAACCATGTTATATCTGTATTTCATATGTCTCTCATTTCAGGTGAAAAAAGCAATCGCTGTCCTTATTCAACTTGGCCATGTTGAGTTTGATTGCAACAAACGGGGGTTTGTGGAGTATTCTGCCAGGCTCGACCGTATCCTCCTACACACACGATATCCAAAGTACATCTATTGTGCCAAATCTTTGTATGGTGATGCCGGGGAGTTGATCATTGAGGAACTGCTACAGAATGGACATATGCTAATGAGCGAGGTGGTTGCCAAAGTCTGGCAGAGGCTGACTGAAGTTCTTGAACGTATGTTTGAATCCCAGGCTAAACATCTAGGGTGGTACACATGCATTCTAAACACTTTGGAAATGGTTAAATACTTTATGAGAAACATGTATACCTATGTTGACAAAACACACTGTTAGATTTGGTGTGATATTGTTTTCCTTTATGTATCTTAAGAGTGCTCTGCAATATGTTTTTAGGGTGTATATATTATTATTAATAATATTACTAATTATTTGTATTAGTGTTAATATTAATAATTATTAAACAAAGAAGTGTAATTTGTTAAAATAATAATAATGATAATAATAATAATAAAAAGATAATATTGATGTGATTAATATTTAATAAATCTAGTTGGTATATTAGGTTAGGATTAAAGTGTGAATATTGGTTCCAACAAAAACACAGTAAGAATATGCTAACACTTAATTATGTTTCTATGTAGAAAATAAAATCATAGAAGAGGCAACTGTGCGGCAAAAGTTTGTTGACCTCGTCAACACACACTTCTTGCAGCGGTCTGCAACAACCAGTGATAAGGATGCATCAAAGGAAGACAGTGTAGCACCAAGGCTTACTGTAACAGAAGAAGATATGTACAAAATCCCAACAGGAATGGCTCCTGATAGTAAGGAAGATTTGAACATATTTTTAATAATCTATTTTTTTTTAAAAGATACTGTTTGTTTAGTACTGTCCTAATAAACTTCATCAATTTGAATTAGGCAAATATTGTATATATTTATATGACTTATGCAGATATGTATTCTTTGACTAAATTCACAGTCTAGGCATAGAAAGAAATGAAATAAAATTTCCAAATTCTTCCCATAGATCTTATATTGGTTAACAGATAGTTTAAGAATATTCGTAGTAAATAGTTGAATAGCGGACAAAAACTGCATTGGCCGACTGTTGGCCAACAAATCCAACTCTGGTTGTGTTGATGCTGGACGTTGGAGATGATCCTTTGAGCACACCTCATCAACTGTGGGCTGATGCAGTGTGTGTTCGGCTTAAAGCAGCTGTAACCCTGGTCACCAATTGTGTCTTTTAGGTAAAGTGAACATAAGAAAGAGAAAGCTGTCTACAGAAGAAGATACTAATCCATCAAAAAAGCAGAAAACAGAGGTGTGCATACATTATGCTTTTAATGGCATTAATTGATACACTGTCACCCGAATAAAATAAAAAAATGAAAATGAATTTCTTAATTGTGTATACTGTATCAGTAATTTGGTCTGCTGCTAGTTTGTGGCTCCTTAAAAAGCACATCATGTAAGAAAGATTCCTAAGGTTATTGAATATTGAGCTCTTTATAAGTTCTTATGTGTTACTACCTTGAAAGAAAGGTAAGTCACTGAAGAAAGGAAAAATTATCTTGCGAAAACCATGGCCATATGAAAATACTAGCATATTATTATTAAACCATCTTTATCTTGTTCATACACTACCACAATTCCATTTGTACTTCTGAATCACAAACCTATGTACTGATTTCCACAAGCCCCTAATTCAATTTTGTATACTTTACAAAAAATAGCCAGCAATTGACCAGGGGATTTACTGGTGTGTGAACTTTGACCGATTTCATCAATATATGCGTGACCAGGAGATTGTTGCTGCCATCAGGAAACGAATTGATGATGTAAGTAGGTCAGTCTTCACTTGTAACAAATGAATTGAAACTTAACTATAAAAAAAAATATTATTATTATTATTAAGTCCGATTTTTGGAAATTATTATTATTATTATAAAAGAAATACAATTATCATTAATACAGAAGGAAAAAAGGTGAAAAATGAAAAAAATTTAAAATCTGAAGCATAAACTGAAATAAGAGGATAATCACACCATATATGGGCACCCTGAATCCCAGGCTAAACATCTAGGGTGGTACACATGCATTCTAAACACTTTGGAAATGGTTAAATACTTTATGAGAAACATGTATACCTATGTTGACAAAACACACTGTTAGATTTGGTGTGATATTGTTTTCCTTTATGTATCTTAAGAGTGCTCTGCAATATGTTTTTAGGGTGTATATATTATTATTAATAATATTACTAATTATTTGTATTAGTGTTAATATTAATAATTATTAAACAAAGAAGTGTAATTTGTTAAAATAATAATAATGATAATAATAATAATAAAAAGATAATATTGATGTGATTAATATTTAATAAATCTAGTTGGTATATTAGGTTAGGATTAAAGTGTGAATATTGGTTCCAACAAAAACACAGTAAGAATATGCTAACACTTAATTATGTTTCTATGTAGAAAATAAAATCATAGAAGAGGCAACTGTGCGGCAAAAGTTTGTTGACCTCGTCAACACACACTTCTTGCAGCGGTCTGCAACAACCAGTGATAAGGATGCATCAAAGGAAGACAGTGTAGCACCAAGGCTTACTGTAACAGAAGAAGATATGTACAAAATCCCAACAGGAATGGCTCCTGATAGTAAGGAAGATTTGAACATATTTTTAATAATCTATTTCTTTTAAAAGATACTGTTTGTTTAGTACTGTCCTAATAAACTTCATCAATTTGAATTAGGCAAATATTGTATATATTTATATGACTTATGCAGATATGTATTCTTTGACTAAATTCACAGTCTAGGCATAGAAAGAAATGAAATAAAATTTCCAAATTCTTCCCATAGATCTTATATTGGTTAACAGATAGTTTAAGAATATTCGTAGTAAATAGTTGAATAGCGGACAAAAACTGCATTGGCCGACTGTTTGCCAACAAATCCAACTCTGGTTGTGTTGATGCTGGACGTTGGAGATGATCCTTTGAGCACACCTCATCAACTGTGGGCTGATGCAGTGTGTGTCCAGCTTAAAGCAGCTGTAACCCTGGTCACCATTGTGTCTTTTAGGTAAAGTGAACATAAGAAAGAGAAAGCTGTCTACAGAAGAAGATGCTAATCCATCAAAAAAGCAGAAAACAGAGGTGTGTATACATTATGCTTTTAATGGCATTAATTGATATACTGTCACCTGAATAAAATAAAAAAATGAAAATGAATTTCTTAATTGTGTATACTGTATCAGTAATTTGGTCTGCTGCTAGTTTGTGGCTCCTTAAAAAGCACATCATGTAAGAAAGATTCATTAGGTTATTGATTATTGAGCTCTTTATAAGTTCTTATGTGCTACTACCTTGAAAGAAAGGTAAGTAACTGAAGAAAGGAAAAATCATCTTGCGAAAACCATGGCCATATGAAAATACTAGCATATTATTATTAAACCATCTTTATCTTGTTCATACACTACCACAATTCCATTTGTACTTCTGAATCACAAACCTATGTAGTGTACTGATTTCCACAAGCCCCTAATTCAATTTGGTATACTTTACAAAAAATAGCCAGCAATTGACCAGGGGATTTATTGGTGTGTGAACTTTGACCGATTTCATCAATATATGCGTGACCAGGAGATTGTTGCTGCCATCAGGAAACGAATTGATGATGTAAGTAGGTCAGTCTTCACTTGTAACAAATGAATTTAAACTTAACTATAAAAAAAAATATTATTATTATTATTAAGTCAGATTTTTGGAAATTATTATTATTATTATAAAAGAAATACAATTATCATTAATACAGAAGGAAAAAAAGTAGAAAAAGGTGAAAAATGAAAAAAATTTAAAATCTGAAGCATAAATTGAAATAATAGGATAATCACACCATATATGGGCACCCTTTTGTCCAATTGTGGCTTGGTTAAGAATAAATGAAGAATATTATTATTTAAAATATATATAATTGGGAAACTTTTAAAATATTTTGTTTAAATTGGGTTTTTTTTGTATTATTATTATTATTATTATTATTATTATTATTATTGTTATTATTATTAAAGTATAATAAATGCTGGTAGTGCTATATGGCCAATTAAAAACTCATTATTATGATTGCATTTTAATTTAATTTTAAGTTGACAGTTATTGTTTTTCCTCAGAATGCAGCATCAATTGTCCAGACAATGCTAAGAATTAGTGAAGTGACTACTGTTTGCCAAGCTGATGTCACAAATCCAATGTCAACCAGTACGATCTTAGAGGCTTTGCCGAAAGAACCAGCAATTGACCAGAGCATTTTGAACCAATACCTAAAAATACTGTTAGAGGATCAGGTGCACAGTTTGTACAAGTGTTTATATTATATGTGCAGTGTAGGAAATTTGGTCACATCTAGGCTTTGCCCTCTTGACACTAAACTTTTCCTTTGGTCCTACTGGAAATTGTAAGAACTTTAATTTTGAACAGCCTTTCCCACTGAATGTATATATCCTAGTGCCTAGTATGTTGGCTGGCTATTCCATCTTGAAATAGTTTTTTTATATGATATATTGATTGATATTCTCTATTGCCTAACTTTATTAATATTTAGTATCTTCAAACTTTCTATTATATTTATATAAATATTTTATTATTCTGTAAAGTGTGACTTGAAGTAAAATAAAAAAAAAAATAAAAAAAAAAATGCTTTAAAAACGGTTCTCAATATTGAAATATACGTTTTTTTGTTTTCAGACTGAGTTCATATCAAAATTCAGCACATCAGGTGGAGGAATGTATGTTGTCAGTATCCTTTGGAAATGTTGAAGTCATAAGAATGTAGATTTGAACACGTTATATTTTCATTGCGGATTTTCAGTACGGACTCCAAAAGTATGCATTTTCTTTTAGTTTTAAGGCATATGCGGATTTTATAAGTCCGCAATGACGATATAACGTGTTTTTACTTCTACAATCAATGTACTTATTTAATTAGCATAATATGTAAACCAAGAAATTCATCAGTATGATTTTTTTTTAAAGTACTTTTATACTTATAACAGCAGCATCAGCAAGCATTTATAATGAACCATCAATAAGTGATTGATAATAAAAAAAAAACATTATTTGTCTTAATCATTTTGTCTTATCTTGTAGTATTGTCTGCCATTTTCTTAACGCATTACAGATATTCACAAAGCTGTGAGGGCACTCTGTGTAGCCACACTTGAATCTACAGTCCTAGAGCGGTTTGGTCAGAAAAGTTACAGAATATTCAAGTTGTTACTACTTAAGAAATACTTAGAACAGAAGCAGGTATGAATTTTTGTAGTAGTAGCGCAGGGGTGGGCATAAAAAAATCAGTCGGAGGGCCAAAGTGAATTTTTTATGTAACACTGAGGGCCGCACCCTAACTTTGATGCTTCCAGTGTGCTTCTAAAAAAAACTAAGCTTTTACACCACTTTATTCTCAGTTTTAATGTTACTTTTTATATATGATCAGTGTTGGGCCGTATTAGAAACAATGTATTTTCTAGCCAGTGTTTTTTTTAATTCATTTTCGCGGGCCGCAAAAAAATCGCTGTCAGGCCGCAATTTGCCCACCTGTGTAGAAGTGGCTGATTTGGGAGACAAGCTTAATTAATCTAAAGCTACAGCTTCACTCCAAACTGAATATTTCTAGAATTTATAATTCTAAATATATTCTCATATTCTACGCCACACACTTTTGAGGCGCGTGTGACGCAGCTTGTAAGATGTTGGACTTCTGATCATGATATCGGGAGTTTGAGACTGATGCTCGTCCCACTGCTTGTGGGCAAGGCACTTTGCTTATGTTTGCTTCTCTTCATCCAAGAGTATAAATGGTTACCTAGTAGGATGGTATGGCATTAACGTACAAGTCATGTGTGTAAAGCAGCATGACTAGGGATATTCCCCAGGGAGCAGAGAAGTTGCACAAAAATGGTATCAAGTGACCAGGGAAATATGTCAGCACTTTATATATATTCTTCAGATTGTGAAAGGTGTTATATAAATGCCGATATAGAAAAAATTTATATATATTCTTCAGATTGTGAAAGGTGTTATATAAATGCCGATATAGAAAAAAATAAATAAATAATCCTTCTAATACTCTGATCAGATAGAGGAATTTGCACTTATTCCTGCCAAAGAAGCCAAAGAAATGCTGTACAACCTGTTTGCTGAGCAGCTTGTCACGGTGCAGGAAATTCCACGCACACCAGATCATGCACCATCACGCACATTCTTTCTGTTCAATGTGAATGTAGAACAGGTGTGTCGTAATATTCTCGAAAGATCCTACAAGTCTCTCGTAAATCTAATCTTAAGACGGAACCATGAAACGCAAATCAATAAGTAAGTTTCCATGTTTGTATCTGTAAAAGTAGTATTGATTTAACAAATTGGAATGACATGATTTTTACTTTTTGTTATTACTGTCTATTGTTTGATAAAAGTTTCTTGTGCACTAATGTACTAATGACAATGTATATGATAATATTGTTAAGTTTCATCTGAATACTAAAAGTAGTTGAATACTACTAAACATCTCTTGTGTGTATTGTTGTTTCATCAGACGCGTCATTGAAAAATCTCAGCGGGTCGAAGCTATTGCAGCATCATTACAGAGTGCAGGGGCTGATGCTGCACAGACGGCGGAAATAGAAGATATGATCACCCCCTCGGAAGCAGTACAACTCAAACGATACAAGGACAACATAGCCAAGTAAGTATCAACAATCAAGTTATTTTGGTGTTTGAATAATATCTAAATCACTAAAAACTAAAGCAGGTTTTAAAATACAGTATACCAGTATTTACAATAAAATTCAATTTCTCCCCATTTATTTAATACTGTATCTCTGCTTATTTTTAGGCTGGAAAAATGTGAGATTCAAGTAGATGAAAGTATATTTATCCTGAAATTGTACACAGAATACAGCAATAACCATTGACACAAGTTCATTCAAATAAAGGATGTTTTGCCACAGTTCGTGGACATGTAGGCATATGCAGTTACAATAAAATTCGCTGGCCATCATGCCCCATGCATACTGCACATATTTTTGCCGACCCGTTGTCCTCCTTTGTTATATTTTAAATGAACACAAATTAAAAACCAAGAACTGGAATAAATTTGACAAATATTGTGTTTGCATTCAATATATTTTTTATTTTATAATCATTAGAATATGATAATCGTATTATCATATAATGATATATAGAACATAGTGTCACACACATAAAAAAAAAGGGAAATTGCATGTCTAGTATATATAAATAAATTACACAACATTACAATTGGGTATATTGGGTCTGGAAATTACATATTATGCTAAGTTTATGTCCCGCTTGCAACTCAACTGACTTTCAGTAACTTGCCAGCAACTGTGAGTCCTATCAAAGTTGCTATGTTCTATTTGCCGCAATTTAAAGCAACCGACAAGCGATAAAATGGTCATGTGACCGTATTAAGGCAGTAATGTTGGGCTGTTATTAACCACAAGAATACCATGCAAATAACATTGTATTAAGTGATTGTAGCGTTGCATAGCAATTAGCTGTAAGCAACACAGTGCTCCGAGAAAATAGTTCTACCTAGCTGCTTGTAGTGTGATTGCAAATGAAAGTCAACACAAGCGCCTCTATCACCTGGTTGAGTTGAGTCTCGACATAAGATTAGCTTTATACAATCTTGGTCAAGTTAATTTTCAAAAGATCATGAAACGGTCTAATTGCCATTTCTCGCCCTGCCATTCACATTCAAATACATTTACTGTACCTCAAAACACAATTATTTGCATATTTAAAATCTGAAAGAAAAGAAAGAAAGCACCATTCTTTGCAAGAACTTCTGAAGATAGTACCAGTGCATAACATTCATCAGTTGAAATATGGGTACTCGGTCCTTGCTATAATATATATCAGAAATATTAAAAATAAATGGTACAGGAAATACGATGTTTAGGAGTAATAAAGAAGATATGAAAACATAATACATAATAATATAGGTTTTTACATATTATAACATACAAAAAGATGAATGTTATAAGTAGCCCCTATATATTTATTTATAAATATAACTTGGACCCATAAATGTTTAGACTTTTATCTTGAGCCATTTGGAAGAGTGACGTAGGCAAATGGAGTATTTAATCGCATAGTAATGTGAATCAGGCCGAGGTCATAATCTAATCACTTTTAATGACATTCAATATATTTACGAGAAGCACCATTTGTAACATTGGATGGATAGGAAGTGAATAATTCTAATGACATTTAGCTATTATGTTCAAATTAATCTCGCAGTGGTAAATATTTGAGTACATTGATTACGTTTTGTGTAATCTTCGTTTGATTGGTTTTTAAAAAAACATTTAAATTTACTGATATTAAACACACAGCATTGTAGGCACTAGGGCTACCAATGAAATTAATAGATTAGTTGACATCATGGTTAGCAACAAAAAGGCAATAATCACTATTCAGAGGGCTAGTAACCGTGCGAGATGGAGTAAAATGATTACCAATGCTGAATGGCATGGCACCTGAGAAGGCGGCACTGGGTGTTTTGGTAAACATACTTGTGTCATTACTGTAATAATTTAATAATAGAATATGAACATCAATAATAATAAATACTTATCAAAATATAAATAAAATAATATGGTATTGGGAATTTAAAAAATAATTCAATAATTGAAAATAAAAATGATCTCAACAGAACAGAATTTCAGATTATTATTTGTACAGTACTTTTTTTTAATATGTTAATTTGTGAATTATATATTACTATATTGTTTTAAATTTATGCTATCTGTATGTAAAATTTAAAACAATAAAATATGTACACAAATAACAGGTAACACATCATATGTATATACAGTATAAAACTTTAAACTTTACTAAACTCTGAGTGTCCCAGTCATAACCATTTCTGGCAAGCTATCCACCGGGTTTTGTGAAGTCATTGCTTCGCACAATACTATGCATATAAGCACACACAGTTTATTAACAATATTTATTTTGGTCAAAACTCTCAACATGTTTGCAATACAATCTCCAATCTAAAAATATTCAGCTTCAAAAGTTAATTTTCGTTCCCCAGCGGATAGGATTTTGTCAAAATGTGTTCTTTGCATCTTAAATTTTTTTGTCAGGATCTCAACAACATGGTATCATTTTGGATAACAACCTCAATATATAAAATCTTTAGCCTCAAGATGTTCAAATTCCTTTAACAACAGATAAATCCTATACTGTACTTCCATCTTGATTCAATATAAAAATTGATTGCCAACTCAGAAGGTGATATGCATCATCCACTATCTTCTTACATGGTATATCATCCTGCATGTTGATCATTGTGATACATATTATGACATCATCAACATTGATGACATCATCACATGATGAATTTTATGACATCACAGACTTTTACATAAAAGCTATGGCATCCTGTGAATAATTATCGCACCAGTAGGTCTGCATTGGCTCTAAACACCATCTCTTATTGCTGTTGCTTCAAACTATTCATAAATTTGCTATCATTGTTTCAATTTTTCAACTAGCAACACAGCCCACCTGGAAGGCGCATCATCAGCTTAACACTACGGCTTGATTTTCACGTAATTCAAGTTGCTGCAATGATACAACAAAAATATTTATTAAGCTTCATACACACTAGAAAGTATTAGATGCCACCGCAAGTGTGCCTGTTTACCATCGTCTCATTCATCATTCAATACAAAAAGAATTGAACTGTGCAATGCTGTTTAAGTGCAACTTGTCAGGGCCATAGGTTTTTAGAATGCACACTATTAGATGTACAGTTGCATTACATTATTAGGCATCCAATTTCAAGTGGTTCACACATAAAATTAACGGTTCTAACTGGCATAGCAGTCTTGCCTCTGTGTCGGCGATTCTAAATTGCTCAGGTGTGAATGAAGATTTACCCAGTATATTTGGCAGGCTTTCTCTCTGACGATGGCCTACAACATTTAAGGAATTATAAAATGTGCATGCCAATGAAGAATTCTGTCACTTTTGAGAAGTGACAGATACATTACAAATAAAGAGACATGTGTTTTATAGTTAAAATTACCCATAACTGTATCATATATTAGTTGATCAATTTATTTCCCCTACCTTCAATCTTAAACTGTTTGTTGCTCCTCTTATTCTCTGGGACTTAGTTGATCTGTTGATAGAAAAGAGGACATAAACAAAATGCTACAGAAATAATTATGATTTTCAATACATGGGAATGGTGATGTACTTTTGCTAAATAGAGAAAAATAATAGGGTTCAAAAACAAGCAAGCATCTTAACCACTAAACTACACCTCTTATCTACCTAAAATATATAAAGTATATATCGTATACAGTATTGTAAATACATATTTAGGATATAATGTGTTTGTAACAGCAAACATGCTCTTAAATGTTCAACATACACATAGATGGTCCATGCTCACATATGCTGAAATAACTAAATGTTCATGCTCCTACACCAAGTGCTTCTACATGTGATGTAAATCATGCTTTTATATGAACATCTTCAATAAATGACAAATACTATTGGTAACTGCCATATACAATATTAGCTTATTGATCACATAACAGAATAGGACAGCTTTACACATATAGCATGGTCAAAGCAGTGGTTGCACAAGCGGGGGATCAGGGGGAAATTGACCTAGGTTCGGACCCGTATGTAATATTGTCATGTTGTACAAGAAATCTAAATACATAAACCCAGGTATTATTAACGATAGAAAAACATCTACAAAAACATCCACAGCATTTCATTTAAAAAGCAGCATGCTTTCAGCAACAGAATGGAGGGAAGATACATGGCTTGGGAGGCACTTCCATCAATGGACAATTGGACAACCTACATCGCTGACCCTCACTGAACTTGCCCGCAAGCGTCAGGTACAGCGGAGACTGGTAGTCTGGCTCAGAAAGCTTCCATTTCCTGATCTTTGGAATATGCCTTATTAGGAGAAATTTGTGATTACTTTAAAAGTTTCCAATCAACATTGTCAAACACATAATAGGGAATTATTTACATTCACCTTAAAGCTAGTCTCTCCACCACCTGTTCCTATAATATGTAATATTTTCTATTTAAAGTTTAGTGATCTTACATCATTTTACAAGGATTTTGTTGTTGAATATCACATACTTGGTTTACATCTTATCACTCATAGCATGTACTGTAGGTATATGTAGCTTTTCATTTATCATTTGCACCCAGCATGCATTGTTAGCTGCACAAGCTTTGCTTTTATTAGCAGCAGCACCACCACCACCACCTACCTTGCATTTGCATCGTTAGTTGCTCCACTGTGGGTACCACCACCTTGTGTGCTAGACTTCAGGTCCGGTCGTTGAACAACCGGAGCAGGACCCGACACCAATGATAAGCTTAGAGCACCACCACCTTGCAAGGGACTCTGGGATACACGGATTACATTTGAGAACCCATAACCTGTACTACTGAGGTATACATTTGACGGTGAAGCACACACTGCATTGCCGGGAAGGTTTACCGAACTATTTGTTGCTGTTAAACGGGAGTTTATACGACCTTGATGACCTGTGAAAACAGTGGGGAAAGAGAATATAATGTAAGATTTTTGTTACCAATCTACTGTACTTCACCGTTATCAAGTTACCGCACAGCCAGCATTCTCATTCAATAAAACAAATAAAGGTAATCTAATATTTATGGATAAAAACCTCAATAAATTTTTAATCAAGCAAACTATCTTATGAGTCATAAATACTTGTAAAATGCTGCGTGGGCCTCACCTAAATCTCTTTTGGAAGAGTTGGCACTAAGCACCCTCCGATGTTGAGCAACGCCTGTTCCACTGTTACTGTCTGTGCATCGCCAGCCTGTTTGAGTGGCCCCTGCACCACAGCTTGTCACACCAACCATGGTGTTTCCCCTGCTGGCTAGCTTTGTGCCATCATCTAGAATTCCAGCTAGATCCTTCAGCTCCTGTTCGGCAACCACTGTACCATGCCGTAAGTCCCGATGGGATGGTGGAAAACCTTTGCGAGGCACAAAATGGTGACGCTGGAGTAATGTTGTTGAGGGGTGCTGTATCAATGAATGCGATGAGTTGACTTGGCTTAGTAGACGACCGTTTCTTGGTGCCGCTGACTGCCACTGTCCGCTGTAAGTGCCGTGTCCAACAGGAGGATGCTGATGGTATCTACTGTTCAAAGCCTATTAATGAATTAAAGAAATTATAAAGTGATAATAATAAAATGGTGACTTGTTTTATGTTGATATCCTTCAAATATACAAGTATGTTGCACAGAGTGAGATTATGATGTAGTTGAAAAATGATATGACATTTTATTACCTTCTTGTATACCCTTTTTTCCAGTTGTAATTCTTTTAGATTTTATTTAGAGATATATGAATTATATATATTAATATAGGAAAACAACTATTATAAAATGAAATATTTTAAAACAACACAAGTTATGATTGTACATTAAAAAAAAACAATTTAAAAACCTTCTACAAAGAATACTATACTACTTCAATGCTACTAATGTTGCTATTGACTACTATGATAGACACTTAATCAACAAAAAACATCATTTAAAACAGATGTCGCTATTGCACCATGTTCATGAACAACCACTGCACAAATTGATATGGAATGTAGTTGGCAGCAGACATGTGAATCTCCAATTTCTTTGATGAAGAAAGTACTATGCAGAATCTTAGGTTTTCTACACATGGAAACACAAAGAAAAATACCAAAGCAGACATACACAAATACAAATCTGTACAAATGAAAAATAACATATTGCATAATTTTGTTAAAATTCTTAACAAAATGCTAGTATCTCAGTGATAAATGTGATTACAAGACCAATATTTTATTTACACATAATGGTAGAATACAACACTGGGAATGACTGTGGAAATAATTTGGTCTAGGCTATTTTCTTTATGCTTTAGTGTAGGGGCATTAATTCAAGGGAGATGCTTATTTTTTTTTTGGGTGTAAAATGGATATGTATACTCAAATAAACAGTCCTTAATTTCACTGTAAATTTGTAACTACTGTACAACACATAATTACTGTCAAAATATCCCAACCAGGTTAGAAAAACTACAATTCTACTGGTGTAGAACATTAATAGAATGTGTTGAGAATAAAATGTTGCCTCCATTAGTTTTGTTTACAGTCATTGTGTGGGGGTTTTCATTCAAGGGAAAAATAAATGCCCAGAGGGCGTATAATCTCAACTGCTGTCTCCCCAATCAAAATAATGGAAACAACTTTTAAGGTTGACCAAATAGACCACGATGTATTGAAAGAAACCACTTTGGGTAAATGGAATGGGTGGGATAAGTTTTAATACTGAAACAACAAAAAACATTGAAGGCATGTATGGTTAGTCAGTTAGCAGTGTTAATTATGCTGTTAGTATTCCCATATTCACCTGTGACTGAGAAGTTGCTGACATTGTCTTTATTGTACTACTTTCCAATTTCTCTGATGGACATTCAACCTAAATTTAACACAACACAACAACAAAGGCAGTTGATAGAAGGTGGTCAGAGAGAGAGAGAGAGAGAGTGAATACATAATATTGAAATATATAGTAAGAAGTGCTAAAGACACCCATGCTGTGAAGCTGAATGAAATGGTAATCATTAGTTATAAATTTAATTAAACTACATTGATTGTTTACCAAGCTTACTGTTGTTTAAAACAATTGATGAGGGACAAACCAACAACATGATATACAAAAAATACATTCATTAGTGCATTATGTGATATTTAGTAAAATGAGTGACTGAAGCATTAGATGATGCTACTAATGACTGGTACTTTATGTTCGTTGAATTTTTAAGTAAAAATTAGATGGTTCATAAAATCTTATCAAATATAGCCAATGATGATTTTTTTACTTTTGTGATTCACGGAGTTTAGCTTACTAAAAGAATATCAGATCTAAATTCTATCTAGAATGTCTTTTCTAATGGCAACTAAACTTGATTGGAAAAGTCTAGACTATTTTTTTTACTTACTTTCTCATAATCTGATGATACTGCAATTTTACTTGTAGAATTTGCTTTTGGGTATGACAGACTTGTGAGTAAAAGCACCGGTGTAGTAGCCTGGTCTAGTTCCTGTTCACTATCAACATTTGTATCAGAATTCACTAAAATGTCCTTCTCAACCTCCCTAAACTCTACACTCTTGTTGATTCCGCTAACTGGGCTAGATTTCACACTTGAATTCTGTTTCCAGGCTAGCCTAGGCTCCCTGCTAACCTGGTGTGTAGCATTCATATTAGTGTTCTCTTCACAGCGACTCTCTACCCTACTACTACCACTATTCAACCTAAGGCCTGGCCTAGTACTCAAATTTGTTATCTCAAAATTAAGGTGGCCTGAGTCATTTTTCTGAATGTTCTTCTGCATGGATAGTTTGTGGTCTTGTTCCCGCTTCTTCTGACTAGGTGGTGGCTCAAGGTGTAAGTATTTATTATATTTATTACAATATGGGGCATAGACGCTGGAGTATAAACGCCGTGCTCCAATAAACGGTGAACTCCTCACCTACGAAATTGAATCAGATTCGTCCATAAAAAAAGGTAACAGGGAGATTTCACAACCTTACAAAAACGAATACGAATACGTCGCTATCATTATTGTCACTCGTGCCTCAAACATTCTTGACAACATGCTGTACGACCTGAATATGATCCTTGATTCATGCAAAAGGCATGAATCGCCTACGTTGTAACAAACATGCTACTGCAGGGGAATGGTTTTCTAAAAATTTGATGACGTAACTGTACTCGTTATCGTTTTCGTAAGCTCTCTAATAACTGAAACACATAAAGCAATCCTTCACTATTGCGATAACACGTGAAAGATATTTAAAAATATTATTCATTTACATCATTTACAAGTACTTACGTTAATAGGTCTATCAGAATGTTTCAATACACCCACAGTTCCTGGTGTACAGTGTAGAAGCCTGTACACATGCTCTACAACTCCTAGGCCCCGTACCAGGTTGTCACGTTGTAGTAATGCACTAACTCGCTCCAGCTCATCCTCTTCATTTATAATCAGTGGCTGCTTACTATCTACAGGCTGGAATTCAACTTTGGTCTCCTTTAAGATGTAAAAGATGAACAGAAAATGTACAGATATAAATTACTTATATGGATGATAATAGGTTTCAATCAAGAAGAAATCTAATGCCAGCTCATTATTATATCAGCTCAGAGAGGATACAGTATATTAAAAGTTGATGTATTAAAAATTTAAACAATAAAATATTTTCATCCCCAATTAACATATGTAAATAATACTATTTCTGTATTATTTATGTAGAAACTTAAGTTAACTAACAAAAATTCTAAAAATATATTTTTAATGTTTGATAATTTTAAATTAGCAATGCATATTTAATTGCACTTTAAGGGGTTCTCCTGATTTCTCCATTGTATCTTTAATTTTAATTTTCATTTTAAAAATATCTTTGCTTACATCTGTTAGTTTACTGATTCTCCTGCCAACCCTTGGCACAGAACTTCGCATTAACGTCCTACGCCTCGCCTTATCACCACCTGGACTCTCAGGTCGAACCAAATCTTTCTCCTTACTGGTAGGTCGATTCTTCTTCAGCATACATTCTAGTTTCTCCTGCTTAGCTCGTATCTCTTCTCTCTGTTGTCTGTTAAGACAAAAACATATTATTGAAATATATTTAAATAAGCATTATAATTTTTTTTTTTTTTTGGATTCAGAATTAAATTTTTTAATCATGTTCACATGCTAAAGTTGGCAATGAGTATAAAGATTTTTTAAATAATTAGATCCACTTCTTGTTTTCAACTCCAAAGTGGTATGACACTGATAATGTGATCATTGTTATTGTTTGACGTCCTTTTAATTTTTGTCCTTGATATAATAAAATCTAAACTGACTTGAATTGTCTGATGTTTAATAATCACAGGAAGTCCTAATTTTCTCATTGGTTTAGTTGCATAATAGCATGAAAAAAACATTTTAAAAATTAGCCTCTGTCTAATTGAACATCTTGAATCATATTTCCTTTATAAGCAGCATAGTAAGTCGGCTAATCTGGCGATAGCCACTTAGTGCATTGGACCATGGAGACCTTATATTTAAAAATTCTGGTCCATAGTTCAATTCAATCACTGCTCTTCATGTGTTTTGGAAAAACATTTCAGCTATTGCTTCCATGTGCAGAAGTAGCCAGAAAACTGCAGGAAATTGTCTCCCAGCGTACTGGCCACTTGACCATCAGAAGCACCGTACTGAAAATAGCACTTCAAACTTTCATAGGTTTATCCTTGGTGTTCACATATAATGAAAATATTTTGTTATATGTTTTAAAAAAAATCAACTCTATTTCAGCACCCTGAAATTTTGGAGATTCATGAACAAAATTTATGTGATAAAAATGAACAGTTAAACCATGAATAAATATTCCTCATGTATAAACACAAATAAAAATTCAGCAAAACTATGAAGTTTTTGTTAAATCAAATGAAATCATAGAAATCAAATTAATGAATATAAATCTGTTTACCGAGCACATTCTCCTCTTGCCTTGGAGGCAGCCGTTTGCTGGAATAATGAGCCGCTATGCTGGAAGAATTTGTCGTATTTCTCATGGCCCTCTATAGGATATATGCGACGATAGTCACCGCAGTGTTCTTCTTCATATTTCATCTGCGCTTCATTTGCTGATGCTTGGCACTCTTCCATTTCTTCCCGCCTGTAAGATTTAAATTCATTTATTATCTGACATCGTCTCACCCTATTAGTAATAACCCATTCATTATCTGTAAGCATTATACCTATATTCATTTTAGCTTTACTATTATTACCCATCTATACAGCCATCATCAATGGCTGTTGAAATGACATATTATATTGAAGGATGAGTGATTGGCTTACTTCATCTACACTATAGAATACATCATGTACCCATCTTTATCTGCATTATCTGTTCACTATCCATTTACATCTTCACTATCTATCACCCATTGCACCACCAGCATTGCAAATGAATGTTTGAATGACAACTTATAAATCAAACAACTGACTGATTGAGTGAATGATGTATCTTCACTATATATCAGACTTACAGTACTTTCATCTATCTATTACCCAGAGCCATGCTTTATCCTGAGTATCTTTAAGTATCTTCACTATCTATTAGCCATGTACTGTATGACAAGCAATGACTTGTTTGATTATTATTATTTAATTGATTGATTGATTGATTGATTGATTGGCATACATATTCACTATATCTTCATTATCTATATATTATGAATGTTCATCTTCACCTGGTATTACCCACTTACTGCATCATTAACAATGACTACCAGTGAAATGGTGCCTTATAAACAACCCAATTGATTGATTGGTTGATTGTTAATCACTATGCATTATACACAATTTCAATATCTACAATTACTCAACAATAACAATAAAAATGATACTCATTCTCACCTTGATTCTTTTGGTTTAGATCGATTCATTAATCTTTCTTTAATTTTCCTCTTCTCTTCCTCAATACATTTCTTGCGATCAAAGGGTGACAAATTCATAATATTCAGAGCATCATAGAGGAATGCTTCCTTCACTTCTTTATCCAACTTTGCATCCGTATGGAAACTGGGTGAATGGTTTACCTGCATTGTCAAAGGGTAAATTTAGAGGTATCACGACGGACCTTTCCTAAGTGTCAATCAAACTTAACATCTGAATATTCAAAATAGTGCCAAAACACTTGTTCTGTCCCACAAAAACGCACATGTTTACATACATTTACGCTATTGAGTGGGTAAGGTGCATTCTTGGTCAAGTGATTCCTCATGGGACTACCATCCATTTATGAGTCCTCTCTCAGACCAAGCTTGACTAATACCAAACTACTTACCTCCAACACCCATGGTTTTAGCTTTTTGTCTAGCATTACATCAAATCCAAGGATCTCAAAGCATCCACTGTCCTTTACATGGTTTGGAAAGCATGTTCGGTAGTTGTGTTTTAGAATCGGATGTGCAGAGATCAATGTCTTAATAATCACATCCTCCATATCCGTCCAAATCTTCTTGATGTCATAACCATTCTCTTCAAACCACCGATCAACTGTTGTTATTTTCCTACAGCCAGGCAGAAATGTTTGAAACATAAGTATAACAATTGTTGAAATTATCACATTTGAGGGTTATCATCCCAAAACTAGCGCATTGTCGCTAAATGTTAAAAATGAATGACAAGCATAAGAATGTGGCAGTATTGCATACTTTAGTACAGAGAAGCTATAATACTTTTACTCATAACTTTGGCAAAAGTAAGTCGATTCCAGTAAATGACCTATCACATTGAAGTAATGTGAATATGCATATATTTGAAAGTCAATTTTCTTGTTTTGGTCACTGATACTTGTTTTTTCACTGGCAAGCCCTTTGGGTACTAGGTATTTAGTAAGTTGAATACAGATGCACAAATTACTATTACTGACTAATATTCCCCTAGTGAAAATATTCCCCTAGTGAGTTAATTATATGTTTCATTGGTAATTTAATCCAATGCCTTTAAACATAATGCACTATTTATGACCAACATCTTTCTGAAAGATGTTGAGCAAAGTTGTTTAATAACTTGTATATTCTCGAAACTGGCATTTGAGCCTAAAACGCACAATCATGTTAGTAAAGTCGCCTTAAATTTACCCTCACCTTTTGCTTCCACAATCATCATCCCGAATGAAATCTGAGCTATGCTTATTGATGGCATAGTTTGTAAGATGCATACACTGTTCGTCCTACAAAATCACAGAAGTCAAAACAGACATTAGTTCACAAACTAATAGATTGGGTTTTATATAATTAAACAATGAGTTATTCAGTATGGAAAAGTGCATGTACAATTTTGTTAGCATTTGCATACAACAAGCACAATAAGCCAAGAAGAGTTGAAAAGTACAGCAATAAATTTAAACGGCCATTAAATTAGGAATTTGCTGCATACACTTAATGAGTCTTGTACTCATTAATCATTAGCAACTTACTATAATTAAAATATAGGTCAGATATTTTAGGTCACTCAGTAAATTATTACTAAGGTACAGAATGATGTAATGTCTGCTTGCAATTTAATACTTCATTAAAGTGGCAGTCTCTTCTGCTCGCATCAATATAATACAAATACAAATACAAATAAACTTTATTTTTCATTAAAAAAAAGGAAAAGCATCTTCAGTTGGCAAAAAAGAGAATACTAAAGCAATGAGAATTATGATAATGATAATGATGCTCATGATATCTGATCTGATGACAACCTGAAAATAAGGACAATAGAAAAAACGATATTAAAGAAATAGTAAATAAATTATGTTTTTTACATTAAGTGCTGCATCATAAATGTAGCACAGCTTCTTACCGTATTGTTATTGGTAGGTTCTGTATACTTAATCGTTGCGAATCGAGCCAAACCATCCTTGAACACGTATATCCGCAAAGGATCACATGACGTAACCAGTACGTAAATTCGTAGATCAAACTTAAATCCATCAATGAGGAAGGGCTGATGCGAGAACAAAACAAGAATCTTTAGATGTCACATGCTACACTACAGCTAGCGGATATCTTTCACTTTTTCAAACCATATCAGTTTATGTTTATTTATAAATGTATCTAGTGTGTGTTCATTGACCAGTAGTCAATGAACAAAACAATAGTTCGGTTGTTATAGGAAACTGTAACTTTAGTTTTTAAAGTAAATGTTATCAGCATGTATTTGGTATTAATAACACTACACTGTTGCACATAATATGCAATGTCAGCTTTTCTGACCTAAAGAGGTACTATAAGCACCGACTGCTCCGTAGAGCATCTTGTATGCTTTTAAAGTAAGTGTAAGAGTTGTTTTGTTTTCAAGGACTTTTATGCACAAACAATGTCTTTTCGAAATGGTAACACAACCAGGGAACAGCAGGATTACTAACAGAGCCATGACATATTTTTTCTTTAGCTAGGATAGTTTATGATGCAGTTCATGCCACCTATTACTGTAGTGTATATAGTAGACACTTTAATAAAAGCACTAAAGTTAGCTACACATACATTGCATAAATACAAAATGGAATTATAGTCTCATATTGCGGTATAATAGCTTGCAATATGTTTATTGCTTCCATTTTCAGTGGTTCCAAATCTCCCGCAACTCGTTGAGTTTTTCAGATATCGGGAAAGCAAGAACCTCCCGGAAAATAAACAATATCCTGCAAATTCATGATATTTGCATGTTTTTACCAGAAATATTATACTGTATTATCAATTGTCTTTCGCAAGTCAGTGCCAATGGGTATCACAATACAAAGCAATATATAATCAGATGTGTTAAGAACATTTAAACAGATCTCCCGGATGTGGATTCTCTCAACTTGGGACCCCTGTATTTTAGAACTATCTAAATTCTTAATCACCAATTACCTTGGATATATACTGCTGGCAGACCTGATGTTCCCCAGGTTTGATGTCCTTAAGGTTTTTAGTGATAAATATTCCTTTGCCCTGGCAACCACTTTCTGGCTTGCATATATATGTTTTGTTCTTCTTTGTACGACAAAAGGCTAAGAAGTCTCCATAACTAAGAAACAATGAAACACAAAGATAAGAAAAATTAAACACTGTAAGCCTCTGGCCAAGGTATAAGCAAACATCATAGTGTACATTTACGGCTGATACCCAGGTAGAGCATTTTGCATCAGTGAAAAATCCTAAAGGTTAAAGGTATGCTTATTTACATGAGGAACTACAGTAAGTATACAAATATAATGAGCATATACCATAATATACATTTTTAAATGACAGTAGAGTACGATCTGTGCTTAAACAAAAAATTGGAGCCATTTTAATTGCTGCTAATCAGAAAAGTGTGGATTTTGGCGAGGTGACGTGGCTTCATGGGGATACTGCGGGTGCAACACCCAGGAAGATTTTTCATACTTCAAGTAGCAAAATAACTGTTTCATTAACTCACTCAGCAGGAAGTACCCAAGTCCTTGGAAAAATTGAAAATTCTTTTGGAAACAACTTCTGTAGACGTGTCAAATTACGGGCAAGTAGATCTTTCCGGCAGATTTCACTCATTCCTGGGAAATGGTTTATTTTCTGCAAGAATAACAATGTTAATTTTTTTTCGTCTTAAAATCATTAAGATTCATTTAGTTTTTTCCAGACACTGTACAAACATGGAGGTATTAAAACAACAGACCTTTATTGTATCTGTTCTATAATTCATTTTGTAACAAAAAATCCAACAAATATAAAGCAATTGGTTTACTATAGGAATAACCAACACTTTATTGTGGTGATTAGTTTAATACATGAACAAGAAATACTATTACAATTTTATGTGCCAAAAATATATATTTGTCTACCTTTAAGCAGTATAAATTAATTATTCTAGCATTTTTATATGGCAATGACATAATATTCCTAAATATTACCAAAAAATTGTCTTTTTTGGTTATCTCAGTGTTCGTCAGGCGGAAATGTAATTAAATTACCGCCAAAAAAAGTATATTATGCTCTATCGTCGTACCTACGTACATAGGCCTATGCATTGACAATCCCATAAAAAATAACCACAGAACCTGATGACACAACCTACGGCCTACTACTAGCCAAGTAGTAGAGCTGTCTCTTATACACATCTAGATGTGTATAAGAGACAGATACAAAGCAATATATAATCAGATGTGTTAATAACATTTAAACAGATCTCCCAGATGTGGATTCTCTCAACTTGGGACCCCTGTATTTTAGAACTATCTAAATTCTTAATCACCAATTACCTTGGATATATACTGCTGGCAGACCTGATGTTCCCCAGGTTTGATGTCCTTAAGGTTTTTAGTGATAAATATTCCTTTGCCCTGGCAACCACTTTCTGGCTTGCATATATATGTTTTGTTCTTCTTTGTACGACAAAAGGCTAAGAAGTCTCCATAACTAAGAAAACAATGAAACACAAAGATAAGAAAAATTAAACACTGTAAGCCTCTGGCCAAGGTATAAGCAAACATCATAGTGTACATTTACGGCTGATACCCAGGTAGAGCATTTTGCATCAGTGAAAAATCCTAAAGGTTAAAGGTATGCTTATTTACATGAGGAACTACAGTAAGTATACAAATATAATGAGCATATACCATAATATACATTTTTAAATGACAGTAGAGTACGATCTGTGCTTAAACAAAAAATTGGAGCCATTTTAATTGCTGCTAATCAGAAAAGTGTGGATTTTGGCGAGGTGACGTGGCTTCATGGGGATACTGCGGGTGCAACACCCAGGAAGATTTTTCATACTTCAAGCAGCAAAATAACTGTTTCATTAACTCACTCAGCAGGAAGTACCCAAGTCCTTGGGAAAATTGAAAATTCTTTTGGAAACAACTTCTGTAGACGTGTCAAATTACGGGCAAGTAGATCTTTCCGGCAGATTTCACTCATTCCTGGGAAATGGTTTATTTTCTGCAAGAATAAAAATGTTAATTTTTTTTCGTCTTAAAATCATTAAGATTCATTTAGTTTTTTCCAGACACTATACAAACATGGAGGTATAAAAACAACAGACCTTTATTGTATCTGTTCTATAATTCATTTTGTAACAAAAAATCCAACAAATATAAAGCAATTGGTTTACTATAGGAATAACCAACACTTTATTGTGGTCATGGTGATTAGTTTAATACATGAACAAGAAAGACTATAACAATTTTATGTGCCAAAGATATATTTTTGTCTACCTTTAAGCAGTATAAATTAATTATGTATGTTTTTAAGAGTGACTCTAAAATGCATATAATGATGTGTTCTTCAAAGAAAACAATTCCAATGTCATCTCTTTGTGATCATGAAAATTGAGTTAGGATACTCAATGTAGATTTTAATGGATTTCTCTCTTGTAACCTAGACAACTATCCCCATCATTCCTTAATTAAAGCACTACAATAATTACGATCTCTACATGTGTGAAAATCGTTTTTGAAAATGAGTATATATCAAGGTAAATTTTTCTAACCACTGTACGATGTCTATAGGTCTACTGTATTTTATCAATGTTTTCTAATATATTCACTTTTATAGTTTAACAGGGATGGGTGCTTTTTTTCTTTTATTTTCCTTTTAAATATTTTGTTTGTGCTCGATCACTTTCAAAAACATACCGTTAAGTACTCAAAATTGCTTGCAGTATACTAATACTTTCCTCAATTTTCAATCCCTCTTTTTAAGGGACAGCAGAATTACCTCAGCTAACACTTATAGCATCACATGCAAAAACTTAGCTGAATCCACTCTTATTCATGAAAAATTTTGTCTTGCAAGACAGTGAAGCTCAATATTTCTGGATCGAATGCGATATTTTTTTTAATTTTTAAGGCCAAATACAAATGGTAACATGCTTAGGAAAACAAGGCTTGACAGATTCTGTAACCATGGAGTGGAAAGCATACTGTACTGTACATCCGCAAAACCATTTTTAATTTCATTTTTTTTGACTTTCCGTGACCAACCTTTGTCCTGTCACTTCAAAATTTAATCACCTCTTCCTCAGACAAATACTGTACGTACCGCTCCACTAAATATTATGATCCATTCACTAATTTGTTTTGTATGGTAACAAATAGACAAACAGCAGTAAAAATATAAAATCTCCATAGGGGATGTTATAAACGGACAATATTGAATAGGAACACCAGTATTCATTCTCCACCTGACCAGAATATAATTCAAATTGCAGTCATGTTAATAATTATACAACAGTTCAATTTGCAATAAAATGTGTACCTTTAATAGTAAATAAAAATTATCTTATTGGCATTAAAGAACAGTGCTAAAACAGGCTATTGGAGATTTCAAAACAAGTACTTTTATAATATTTGGGCTGTTTTACAATCAGGGAACACATCACAGGGGGTCAAAATTGAGGCATTTTTTTTTCAATGTTTTTAATATTTATTTTTATCTACGTATATCAAAACATCATGTTCTAGCATTTTTATATGGCAATGACATAATATTCCTAAATATTACCAAAAAATTGTCTTTTTTGGCTATCTCAGTGTTCGTCAGGGGGAAATGTAATTAAATTACCGCCAAAAAAAGTATATTATGCTCTATCGTCGTACCTACTGTACGTACGTAGGCCTATGCATTGACAATCCCATAAAAAATAACCACAGAACCTGATGACACAACCTACGGCCTACTACTAGCCAAGTAGTAGAGCCAGGGTATTCCACATTTAATGTTGAAAAATATGGTGCCTTAGGGGTCCCTCACAATTATCTCGGTTTGGCTCGGTGGTTTTCATTCTGGTTGTTGAACTTGTAGTCAGCAGGAGTACAAACAAATACAAATAGTAATAAACCCTATGGATGGCAAAACAAACAAGGGAAAACAACATAAAAGATTAAGAGATGAGATCGATATTTATTGGAAAAGAGCGAAATGGTGTAACACAGCAAGAGAAAAAGATTGATTTGGTGTCGACATCCTGAAACATCGTCTCATGTTTTTTTAAATAACATCCAGCACGAGTAAATTTCCCATACGATTAAAAATCGTAACAGTATTGGGTTTTGTCTACAGGTTGTTCCTGCTTTGAACAGATCACTCCATTTGTAGAAGGGGATTCCTGTGTGCATGAACAGAACAAACATGACATTGTTTTTCAAAGTGACGGATGCATTTAAACAACTGTTCTGTGATCCCACAGCTGTGGAACACGCGAGTCTACACGCTGTGAATTAACGATCTGATCAGCCCACTGGGCGGGTCTCTTTAGGGACGCACCGCGGTGTTGTTTATTTTTAACCGCGACTTTAGTGACAGTTAACAATTTTAAAAATGGGCTTTGTATTTTCAACTTAATTTAAAATTAATTTTTTAAAAATAAAATTATTCCTGCATCAATATTTCCAAAATTTTTGACGAGGACGGGAGTGATAATCTAATAAATTTTTCTATTTGCCCTAAAGGAGAGGACATCACAGTAATGACATCAGAAAATAAGAAAACTTAAACTTCCTTAATTCTTTATTTATGTTTAGCACTGGTTCATTCCATACTACAGGAAACATATAAATATAATGTTTACTTAGTAGGAGAAGGGGAGTACCACTTGAGAAAATGCTGTAAAGGAGAGGGCACACTTTTTTTAACGCCATTACCTGGCACTGGTTACCGCTCTACTGATTGTGTACACCAAAGAATAAGTTCACAATTTTTAATGCTTTTAATTAGATGATACAGCAATCTTTTCAGGCATTCTGCATGCTGTGGGTAACTCTCTGAAATTTATTTTAATGATGTCAAAAATATCATGTAAAGGAGAGGACATATTAAGTGAATTTTCGACAAAATTTTAATTTTTTTCTCATTTTTTGGCATAAATAATTAACTGATTTTTTTTTTGATTTTTTTTTTTGTAACCTAGGTTCACTAAAGTAGTTTTGAGAAACAGGTTTAGTATTTAAATTTAGGCAGTTAAAATATGTTATTTTAGAATGAAACACTGAAATTTAAAAAGAAAAAGAACTTTGTAGACTATAAAAAATAATTAAAGTATCAGTACACCTATTTTTATACTGGGTTACGAAGGGTTGTGTCTGTGTGTGTGCTATATCTAGGAATAGAAAGAAATCCTGAGGCTTTTTTAACAGACAGCAGGGTCACAAAGTATGATTGTGAAAGAGCCCATTTATCTCTCTTTTATTGTGGACAAAAATCTTGGTTCACAATATCATATGAAGTTAAATTTGTGGGTTAAAAAATGGCTAAATCAACAATGAATTGCCAGTACAATATCAATAATATTATTCTCTGATTGTTTGTCTGTAGGCCTACTGTTCAAATCTATATACAGTTTTACTTTAAATTTTCTAATCAGAAATACACAGATAACTATTAGTTAGCAATAGTAGTTGACCAAGTAAAATAATTTGTGAAAAAATACTGTAAAAAACTAAATTTTAATATATAGTTAATCATGTACTTCTATGACACAAAGGCATCCTGATAACCCAATCAAAGGACAATCATAAATTAGTGTCTTCATTTCATCTTGACCCTTTTAATGCCAGACAGTTTATGTAAACATATGCATATATCCTTAGGAAATTGTGCCTGTAATATACATCCTGTTTTTTGTGTGGAATTCATTGTTCTATTTACGATTTACTTTATAACTTAAATTTAACTAACAGTTAATCAAGCCAGTATTGTAATTTATTTGTTAACATCTTGTTTCCATTTTTCATAAATAATGAATGACTGATGATTATTTTTTTCGTATTGGCAAAATTACATAACCTGTAGTATTGGGAAAATATGATTCAACATGAACATTGCAGAACATTAATATGCTCTGGATTTTCTATGGGTACTCACCAGGGCTTTGCCCTCGCTGGTGTTAGTCGAAAATTTTTAAACAAACCCCCGCCACCCTAAATATCCTCAAGCCACCAATTTGTAGATTAAAAACTATATACGAAGACATTTTTCAAAACAATAATTATATAGACCACATTATAATGAAATTTGTGAAGATAAATCTAGAAATTTCAATGGCTAAGTTTATGAGCTAATTATTTTAATTTGAGCCACATTTATATACTATACTACAGTATTCATCCTTGGCTGCAATAAAGCTCAACCATGTTCACGATCAAAAAGTTAGTAGAAACGATTTTCGATGATATCGATTGTCAAAACAAGCAATACAATTACGATATCAGTATCCAGTGTAGAGTATGGTTGACAACAGAATTACTGCATGATGTTTGTTGTATCATCATTAAAATTTACATCTTTGAAAATTTACATTTTTGAAACACCTGCTAAATGTCTAGTGATTCTACAAATATATATCAGTCTCTGTAGAAAACATGTTTTTCATGCTATAAATACTTTTCATGCTATAATTTCCTTGATATTATTGTCAATATTCTTTCAACTACAATACATTACACAAAATTCACAGTGGTGTTATAATTTGATAAAGAAAACCACATTGATTTTCTCGAGACAACTTGATATTTTCACGACTAATTAAACATTAAATTTAAATGTCACTGTGTGGTAGCTAAGTGGAACTGTTGAACTGTAGGCTCATTAACTTATACAGTTACCGTCACTAATTAATTAGCATCACAATTTGATTAATTCATGTTAATCAATCTTATGGACTTTAGCATAGCATAGGCCTACAGTACTACTGGAAACACAAACATCTTGAATACTGTACAGATTTTTTTTAAACCAATTAATCCATGGCCTATGAACAAAATTACTTGAATTGCAATTGTCAAAAAAAAGGCTTTCTAGGTGTCAGAATTTCTTTATTGCAACAATTATTTTATTATTCTTATATTATTCAATAAGTATGTTTAGTATCAGTCACTATCAATAAATAAATGTAGGTTTTCAATGTTATATGTACCTGATATTTCTTCATCTCCATAACCCTTTCCAATGCAACTGAATAATCCGTCCAGTACAATGTCCAGTCATCATCTTCACCCACCTCCTTCATTCCAAATTTACGAGCCATACGCCTAACTGTGGAATTAAGCATACAGTAAATCCCTGTCAATCAATCAGTGCCACAATCAATACTAGAGTCATAAATTAATATTAGTTTTAGGAGAATATTTACTGACTTTGATCAATCAAGTAAAATTTATAGCACCAGATGCAAACTTTGTCCTAAGGAACATGTTCATTATAAGGGTTGCTCTAATATGCCTGCTAAAAAATGTGATTTTAACTGTTTCCTGAAATTGTTTATTATCATTATTGGAGGAACTCACTTTTAAGCTATTGGCAAATATAATATTTGATCATTATACAATCTATATGACACCTCATGATTTGCAAGGTAAGCACAACTGAGTCTCTACAAAGGCAGAGTGCCTTAAGTACCAAGGTCTACTTAACTGGCTTGTGGCAACTAATTGGATATTAAATATAAGAATTGCTGGATTACCAATGGTACTACCAGAGAGCCTAGGTATTTACAGCTTTCAATGCATTGATAATCATCTAATGGCAATGCTTCCAGCTTTTTATGACTGGAATCATTTTGGCTTCCACATCCTCAATCTAACTCAATAGGCCTACTATTTACAGATATTTATTATCAGTGGCGGATATATTTTCTGGAGGGGGACTTGAGCTCGTAGTCTCGAGCTACGAGAAGGAAATGAGATTTTTTTTAAAGAATACAGTAGGAACCTCTGGATGGCTATTTTTATATTTATTATGGCCGCTGACTGCCCGATAAGCTCTGTCCAACACAGGGCTTGTCCTGTCTGGTGGGGGCTTAAACCCCCCGATGGCACTGCCACTGTTTATTATATTCAATATAAAAAACTCAAAATACAATTTGATGATAATAAAGTAATGAATACTTTGAATAAACCAAATTTGTATTAAATTAGAACAAAACATACATACATTGGCAGCTGTAACAAGCACCGATCTACAACTCATCTAAAATAATTTGAGAAGTTGGTATCATTTAATTAAATTGAGGATTGATATTTCACCCATGCATTCAAAACATTAAGTATAGTTATGAGTATTATATGAGAGAATAAATATGCTTGTACAATTTACACCTGCTTGCCGTCAAGCGATTCTCATTATTTTGCAAGTGTTCATACTTACCACTGTCATATTTGCAGTTTGTTAAGCATATTCCCATAAATCTGAGAAATGGTAAAAACAATCAATTAATGTAATGAACATGACAAGGCATCATTTACAAAAAGCAGAATAGCATTCAAACAGCAAAAAAAAAAATTTAAAAATAAAAGAAATATATCTTCAAAGCTGTCTCTTTAGGCTCATTTTTCCCAATTTGTGAATTAGTGTATAGTATTGCACATACAAGATATGGAAAGTGTGGGCTTTGCCTGTTCAACAACCCTTGGTTACATTTCTGACGTCATTTTATTGTTAAATTTTGTTGTGCCTTTTCAGCAAATCAAATAATTTTTTTTTGCTAATATTATACAAACACTATAAGGCGAGACTTTTTTATACCTTGTTTAGCGAACCTGCCGACTGCAAATATTAAAAATTTCAAATAAATATAAAATTTTATTTCTGGCCAATTAGCGCACCTTTTTCAGAAAAAGCAATAAAAGATTTTTCTTTATTTTTATTACGCCTTTGGCTGCCTTGAAATCTACAGAGATAAGATATGATATTTCTTCCTAATTATATAAATTTCAAGCATTTAAAAATCTTATTATACATTCACCAATCCAATTTTATTATTATTTTCTCCTCCGTCTTTATGTTTTTGACAAAACTATTTGCTAAATAAGAAAACAAAATTTTATTTTTATTTTTATCCTGCCCTCCTCCGATGATCTTTAAAAAAAAAAAGTACTCGAAATAAGGAAAAAAATCCTTGCCTAATTCTAATATTCACAGAGAAATTAAATTTAAAGAAAATCATTATTTTTTTACATTTCTTAAAAAATATGATCTAATTAAGTAACATGACATATACATGGCCAGGATATTCAATAAGCATTAACATTGCCACGTTACAGCTTGGATATAAAAAAAACAATCTTCCTGGATACTGTCAGCTGTCACATAATGTATCCCTTTTTGTAAACCATAAAGTCAATGGAAACTGATTAAAGATTTTTTTTGGCTGTTGACTTTTTCGAGTCTTACAACCCAATTCTATGCATTGCGTGCCCCTATACCTGTCTCTTATACACATCTAGATGTGTATAAGAGACAGTATATATACATTCATTAGGTAATTTTCAATTACAAAGTGCAGAAATTTGAAGTCTCTTGCAAGTTGCCAGTCTCCCGAAAATTGGGGGTGGCCTCCCACATGCAAAGAAGAATCTCCTGGAAAATAGCCCATCTTTTGCAAATTCATAATATTAGCGTGTTTTTAATATTTTATTATTAATTGTCTCATGGAATTGATCTAATCTAATCATATTTATTTATATAGCGCCTTTCTTTGCAGATACGAAGCGCTTCTGTCCCTGGTCATTGGATCCACATGCTTAAGTGTTGCTGCTGTATTCAGCGGAGGAGCAAGCAACCCCACCAGGTACCCATTTATACTCCTGGGTGGAGAGAAGCAATGCAGTTAAAGTGTCTTGCTCAAGGACACAAGCGAAATGCACAGCGAGGGATTGAAACCCCAACCTCGACGTTGGAAGTCAGTGCCGATAAGTATTCACCATGTAATTAGTGTACTAAGAAAGCTCATTTAACCCTCCCAGAAGTGACTTCTTGCAACCTGGGACCCCTGCCCAACAGTAAAGTAGAGTATGTATAATTCAACCTTCAGATTAAGAAATAATGCTATAATTATGTTAAACCACTTATAGTATTATTTTGTAAAGTTTATAATATTTTATTGTCTAATATGTAAGACAGATACACATTATTGTCAATTCACATTAAAGTGCGTATTAATTTGGATTCACAGTTACATTCCTTTGCTTCTTTTCAGAAGTTCAAGAAGTCCTTGTATGAGGATGTAACACAGTTAAGTACAGTAGACTAAAAAAAAGAAAAATATTTCCTCTATTATTGAAAGCTACCTTTTCCTAATGCTACCTTACCTACTGCAAGTTTTTTTTTATTGAACTAAGTTTATGTCAATTGAAGATGTTATTTGAATTGAAATTCAAAATACTGACATGATTATATTTGACAATAGGAAGTGATACTATTGATTCTCAAAGGATTAAAGTGTCTGACATTTAACTGTCTAAAGTAATACTTTAATAGGTTTGACTTTTTGACAACCTGGTCAAAGCAGACTTAAAACAGAAATCCCCTTTCACAATTTATACAAACTTACTTCAGTAGAACAGTACAATAGTACTATTAGTAGAGGTTAATAAAGGGAATTTGAAGTTCATAAATACATCATCTGGTTGCCATTTTAACTTCTTTTTTAAGATACTGTATTAGCCTGCTATGTCAGGAAAAACCTGTACTCTGGAAACTGGTTGTCTTCATTGCATACCTCTGTATGTATACCAGTCTCCATAGCAACAGAAATAGAAACCTTTAGCCTAAAGGTGATTCACTGAGTAACACTTGCATTCAAGGTAAACTTGGCCAGGAAGGACAGCTCACATTTCTAACAAGCTTCTTAATCAATAAAACCCTGAAATCATTTCCTGTCAATAAAGACAATGGTAAGACATCCAAATGGATCAACACAAGTTGAAACTGAACAATATTTTTGCAACCCCCCACTCTACAATAGGTACTGTACCCACCCATGCTTCACTAACATTCAATAGAGTAGCTTGGGTATTTTGGTAGCACACTCAAGACTACTATACTGTATTTTATATTAACAACAAAAAATATTTTATAATTTTACAAATTCAAGGAAATTATTAAAATCAAGATACAGAATACTACTGTATAAAAATCATAATATTATCTGCACAATATAAGTTCATATTAACATTTCATAGCACAATTGAACATTGTTGAAGCAGGTAAATTTCATATCGTAGCTGGTGCAAATGCCAAGACTTGGTGAACTGATGTTGCAATGTGTTTATTTTTTCATGAATATTTTTGGTTTTTAGGATGCTCTATTTTCAGACCACATTTAAGCATGTTGTCAATGACAATACATTTTAATTGATAGGAAATGGTCAATAATAACCATTGATAAACATGGAGGTTATACAGTACTAACTATAAATAGAACATCATCTCTTGATGATCTGCAATGCTTGGCTGGGAAATTTACAGTTTAAATTAAAATTTCAAAAAGCAAAAACAAATGTATATTTTGGTACATATGTAATTGTATTACAGTTATTACCATATTGATTATCAGTAGATAATCAAGTACATACAGTTATAAGTATGATGAAATAATTATAACACTGTGCAGATGGTTGTGTTACTGTATTCAACCGATAATAAATTATTTAAGCTGTTAATAACATGCTACTCTGTTACCTAAATGCAAAAACAAATGTATATTTTGGTACATGTTATAGCATATTCATTATCCATCACTAGATAATCAAAAGAAGTATCTATGGTTAGAAATGTGATGAAATAATTACAACACTGTGCAGAAGGTTGTGTAACTGTATTTGATAAAAATGATTTAAGCTGTCAATAACATGCTACACTGTTACGAGACTATACGTGGTTGCAGATACTATAAATCACAATGAAAAACAGTACTCAGAACTCAACCAATCTACAATAAATGAGACAGGTTTTTTGTTTTTATTTTGTTTTTTTTTTAATACCATTTTCTAAATTGTGTATTTCTAATATTTTATTTTACATAATGTTATAAGATATTTTTTAAAGATTTTTTTTACTTACTTTTTCTTCTTGCGTTTCTTTTTCTTTGTTGGTGATGAAGTTCGCTTCTCCTCTTGGTTTGCTATTTCTCCATCTGCACCACTGTCTCCTCCTTCTCCTTCACCCTCCTCCTCCAGGTAATCTTCACCATCAACTTCCACATCACTATCATTCTTTAAATGATCATCTGGTTGTTTTTTGCCCTTTGTGGATGACTTTGTTTCATCTGCATTGGGTTGTTGGATTTTTCCATCAACCATGATTCTCTTTTTATTTCATAAAAACTATAAAAAAAAAAAAGTTATTAACTGCTAGAAGATTTTGAAAATGTTTAGCTGCATAGCATTGGCATACTGTATTGCTTGGGCTTTGTGTGTTGTATTTTTTGCTCATAATTTCTACCCAGCTGTGTTACAGCAAGGCAATTCAACAAAAGGACGCACATCTCGAGACATCAAATGCTATGGCTCTGGCATCAACATTCTATGCATTGCATGCCCCTATACGCTGGACTGAGTTTAACGCGCCATGATCGCCATAAAAACCATAGCAACCAAATTAACCGTCAAAGGTGTGTGATGCATTACACGTGTCAGTTGCCAAGATAATCGCGCGTCGTGCAGTCATTACAAAGGCCTAAGGATTTTTTGCTCTAACATTAGACTAAAATTATATCTGTTTATTTGAACATTAATTTTACTCACTTAACACAGAATAGATACATTTTCTTATCTACTAATGTTTGTTTTGTGCACCTTCATCCAACATTGTCAAAGTTATAGTTTAATGTTATATATAAATTTATATCCATTAATACAAAATATTAAAAAAATTGTTCAATAGGGTTACAAAAGTGTACTAGCACTAAAGTTCTTAATTAAATAGGCCTGTTTTCGCCCTTGTTAAAAGATGCTACAATGGTTAAACATACGCTAAAATATAGTTTGTGCAAGTTTCTGCCTTAACAATGGGAGCCTGTACAGCATGTACCGTTTTCACGAGGAGACACAAACTTTACTCTACGTGTAAACAAAATATGCTGTGTATATTCTGATCCTTTTCACAAACAAACACAAACTTTTCATGCTTATTAACAGGTTAATTAAAGTTTAAAAAAGAAAAATAAATTGAATATCTGAATTGTTTAACTGATTTATCTCTAAACAGATTTTGTTATCTTGATAGTGAAATTTACAGATTTGTGAAGTAGTCGATCCACTTCAAACATTCTTTTCTCAAAACACTGTTTTCGTCGAAATTGAAGTTTGTGTCTCTTCGTGAAAAAGGTGACGATTTGTCCCTCTATCATTATCGAATCCTCTTCCGTTACTAACGGCGCTGGCAGACTTTCCCTAGGCCTAAGTAAGCCTAAGCCTGCTTTGAAACAATTTATTACTGAACATTTTTATATAAAGTTAATAACTTGAAATATTCTTGAATGAATGGTGTAAATGAAGGAAGAAACAAATTCATCTATTTAACTAGTATACTGTACAATAAATGGCATCAAATGTTTTTGTAAGACTCCTCCTAAACAACAATTCATTGATCCCTAATCATCATGACAATAACTCCCCAGAAAGCGAATGTTGTGTGTTGTTTGCGGTGGATAGCACCTCCTTCTCCCTCGCATTTACTCCGTGAACAGTGCAGTAATCCTGACAAGACAATAAATACAACCTGAAATAGGCATAATGCAAGTGCCAAAGCACATTATTATCAACCAACCTTACAATACCTCTATGCTTACAATTAAAAGGCAAACATTGGCCACCGATGTCTAGGTAGGGCCTGGCCCTAGGGTAGGCCTTGGTATGGTGGTGGTAGCAGCACTTGCCCTCCGCTACTGATGATGCCGTGCAAAATGTAAATAAAACATTCGGAAAGACAGAGTCAATGCAGTGACAAACTCACCGACGGCAAATCTTGTTTAATATTTCCCATTCTCTGAGCTTTCATATGTAAACACCGAGACACAGGCACAATCAGCCGATCTCAGTTGTGATGTTGTTACCAAGAAATAAAGTTTGTGTGGCTCGAGTGGAGTCACTCACAACTAGAAATCTCAGTAACAGAAGTCGCCATTACTTCGTTTTAAAGTGTTTGCGGATTGATATAGAACCCGTTCACACAGTAAACTTTCTAAGATCCAATGTTGTGTTCTTTCTTTAAAAGCAATCTGTTTTTTGTATTCATTCCAATTATTGAATGCAAAACACAATAAATATATATATATATATTACTCTTTGTATTGGCAAGTTTAGATTATTAGGAAAACAGTAAAGTAACAGATTTATTTATTGCAGTAACTCGTGCTTCGAAGGTAGTGCATAGGCCACGATGAAGCAAGCAACGGGATGCTATCCACTGATTGGCAAACGGTTGCTGGGGACGGGCTTAAAGTGTCGTCTGCTAATAAATGGTCGGCAAGTTTCTTTGGCTAAAAACTTCTAGTTATTGTGTAGCTATTAAAAATCATCAATACTTATTTCTATTTTAATAATTATACTATTTTCTTAATACTCCTATTCTTTTTTTTATTATCTTTATAATATCAAATGTAATTTTAAATAATTATTATGACTACGTTACAGAAATTTTTATAATTTAAACATGGCCACTGGTGGCGTATTATATTCCACGTCGTCGCGATCTTCAGACTTCCGAGTTGTTTGGGAGTAGAACATACGTTTAAACCTTGTTTTTATACACTTTTTTGGAATTCTAATGGCTAACCAAGGGGATATTGATGAGTTGTATGAAATTAAAAATGCATTTTATCTTGGGAATTATCAGCATTGTATAAACGAAGCACAAAATCTTAAGGTTAGAATGGTTAGGATTTCTAGGCTTTTAAGCCTAGATTAACGTGCCGACGTTGCCCCTACCGTAGCGTACTCACCGCGACCGGCTAGCTAGGCCTAGTTGGACCCTGGCTTCCTGGACCTCGCTGGTCCTAGCCTAGGGCTAGGCTCTAGGCACTACTCAGTATTACAGCTGGGCCTAGGCTTAAACGTAAAGTCAAGACAACTTGAACTGAGGGGTTATGTAATGATGTGATTAGTTAATAAATATTAATTGACAATTGTTAAAAAAATGATTATATAAAATGATATTCTAGCTAGTAGGCTAGGCCTAGGCCCTAATTTCTGTTTGTATTTTTTACTAACATATAGGGCCTAGGCCTACCTAGGTCTAATCATTTTTTATTTACTGATTTTTTTTATTCTAAACTTCTTTAAAGTTAAATTTATCAAGATCAACATGCACTATTTTATTAGCTGATGAAAACATGTGATGAAACGTTTCTATTGAATTAGGCCTAGGCCTACTTATATGTTTTATTTCAGTATTCTATAATATCAATATATTTTACTTTGATTGATATGTTTGCCTGTACATTATTTATGTTTTTGCACCATTTTGTTTAACATGTGCCTCTGTTTAAAAGTGAGTATCCAATAAATTATTATTTATTAAATGAAGTGATGAAGGTACTGTGAAAGTATTTCAATTGCGCAGATGGTACTGTAAATCAAAATCTCACTCTACTTTACACAGACAATCGCCAAATACACGGAAAATAGGTGTGAGAATCGTAACTAATCCTACTCCATAACCAGACTGTTTAGTAACGCCTGCGCTGGGAATGTATATTCCACACACAATTTAAATTTTTTAAATTTTGCGGATGATACCTCAAAAACCAGCTCAAAGTTGCACAGTAAATCGCTATGAAAATATGTGTGCAGAATCGCAATTACTGCATAATACATTTTTTATACATAAAATTAGATCAAAACCTAATTTTCGGCAAAATTTGCGTGGAAATTGGCCCTTATTTCCCCAAATGCGCAGACAGATTTCTAGGCCAAATTTTTATGCAGAGGATATATTCCCCGCACAGGCCTTACAGTATTTTATAGTCTGGCAGTGATTATTTTAAAATGCAGACGATGTCAAGAAATATGATTTATTTTTTTTGCAGCCCTCAAATTCTGATGTTAGAGTAGCAAGGGATGTCTTTATGTACAGAGCATATGCTGCTGGTGTAAGTATATTGCATCCATCTAAAAAGTATTTTATTTGTGCATAGATACAATGTTTTTGTTTTGATTCATATGGGTTTTTGAAAGTCATGGAAAATTATGCAAACTGATCTCAGTATTTTCTAGGACCTTGAAAGCCATGGAAAATAAATTTGGTAAAAATATTTGACAGTGTGGAAATTGAAATAATTTTCTTTCGTTTTGCATTGGGGTCACACTGCCGCACACCCAGAAAAGGTATTTTGCGCAATTTATTTGCTGTGATAAGGTTTTGGAAATTTAAATTTATTGTTAAGAAATTTTTATGAACCAATATGTATGAACCCACTGGAAAATCAATAGAAAAATGCAGGGATTTTGAATCAATTTTTTTGTATTTAAACACTATTCATTATGCAGTAAGATTTATTCTCTCCGTATATAATAATTATGGTACTTCTGTTGTACAGCCTATGTATCATTATATGTGTGTTTATTTACAGCGCAAGTTTGGTGTTGTTTTGGATGAGATCAGCTCTTCCTCGCCTCCTGAGCTTCTTGCGGTGCGAACTCTTGCAGATTACCTAGCCAATAAAAGCAAACGGTACTTTGGGTTATTCATTTTCTTCATTCACCTTTCAATGACCCTTTTGTTAAATAGACTTGAATAAATGAATGAAGATTTTATTGAAAACAAATTATTAAAGAAATCTAGCAATCTAATAATTTATTTATTTCATTACTAATTTTGGTGAAAGATTTTGGCTTTTTTAGTTATAGAACCCAAACCATGGGTTAGATAAAGAGGGCACCACAACCACCAAATCATAGCGTAAAATGGCAATTTATGAGAGAATTTTTTTATATTTGAATTTCAGTTTACATTTTTTATACAAAAATAACAAGGCTAGTTAGGAGCTACTGAAGATATTGAAATAAAAAAATGAAAAGAAAAATAAACAAAGCAACCTGAAATCAGCCCAGATTTTTTAAAAAACATTTTTCACAAGACCAATGTTGTACAACAACCTTGTCCCCGAAAAGAACTAGGGATCTAAAACATGTTTTCATGTTTCTTTTCTTTTTTTTCTTTTTCAGGGAGAAGATTGTTCGTGATCTTGATGGTCAAATGAGCAGTAATGTTGACGTTAGCAACAGTACATTTCTTCTAATGGCAGCATCCATTTACTATCATGAAAAGGTAAGTTTTTGCTCTCTACCATGCTGTTTGCGAAGCTTAGTCAGTTTTTGTGTTTCTTGTAACTCATCCACTATCAATTTACTAATTACAGTACTGAGCTCTGCTTAGAACATGGGTGCCTTTGGGACAGATTAACAGTTATTGCCTGTATTAATCATTATTTTAATTGTTGTTCTTGGACACTGATATATGCCTATTTTGCCACAAAAAGTCAAAATAAAGACTTACTGACACACACACAGGATCTATAAATAATGATACTGTTACTGATTATCTTGTGTTAAATATATTCAAAACTTGAAAAGTTTATCATTATTAATATTATTTGATTTTTTTTTGTTATGAATATCAATTTATATTTTGCAATTAGAATTATGATACTGCCCTTAGATGCTTACACTCATCTGATGACCTCGAATGGTAAGTACTATACCTCACAGCATATAATTTGTCCAGTCTTAACCCATCAGAATACTATTAGGGCGACTATAGTTGACACCGACAACTGTAGTCGACATACAGATAATATTAGGAGCTAGTATTTGTTTCAATCTCGGGTCAAGAATTTTCATAGTGCTTGCAAACTATGGAATAAACTCAATTCATGCTATTTCAAAATTTTTTACATTTATCATTTGATAAATTATATTAAATATTTTGACCAGATGATTTCATAATGCCGCACAGCGGAGAAAAATGCTTGAATTGTATTTTGGTGCCCATCACGATGATGAAAAATAGAATTTTACTTTTAGTCATAATTTTGTACAGCCTAGCAGTGAAGACTAACAGATAAATGTAATAAATGTGGTGATAAGGATGATTTAAGCCTATCAAAAAGTATGCTAATTGACATCAATCGAAATCATATTCCTAGTTAGGTATCATACCAAATTTTCCAGGTGTATCCATCATGTATGTAATATATTTCATCATGACTTTGCTACTGTATGTAGCCTAGTGAGAACCACCAAGCCACACTCTAGACACTCAGTGTTCAGCTCTATTGTATCAGATACAGATTGATTTGAACTTTTGATCCCTTAATTTTAGGCCTGGCACTTACTATGTTACATACAACAACATATGTTTTGTTTGTTTTTTTCAGTATTGCTTTGATGGTTCAAACCTACCTGAAGCTTGATAGGGTTGACTTAGCCAGGTGAGTGATGATATCAATTATCTCGATTTGATTGATTGATCAATTTATTGAAGGAGTACTGTAGAAGTACAAAAACTAACAAAATTTATTGAAGGTTTCAGAACATTTGGCATCATGGCATCAATTGTTGTCAAAATATGACTTCATACATAATCTCTTCAATATATCAAGTTCTCTGGCATACAAAATGACTCATTTTATCATGACACCTCATATACGTGGTTATATTCCTAGTAAATACCTAGCTTTTTTGTTTTACAGAAAAGAAGTAAAACGCATGCAAGAGATTGATGATGATGCAACTCTAACACAGCTTGCCCAGGCATGGTTCAACCTGGCTGTGGTAAGCAAAACCTCTTTCTCTAGGTCATCATAACATATTTTGCTTGAATATTTTAGTTGTTTTTATTTGTATTTTTGATCACAGCTCCCTTGTTAAAAAAAAAAGTAAACTTAAGCAAGTTTAAGTTTGGTGTATGTGTATTCTGACCTAAGGATTTGAACAATTCTAACCCAAGATGTATAGATGTATTCATATATGTGTGCTGTCGATGCAGTAAATTGTAAAATTGGATAATTCTTTCCATTGGATCCATTAATGGATATTTGTGAAAATATGTAAAATGAAATCTAACCTAATGCTAATGGCAGGCCTCAAGATCTGTCTCTTTCATGTTTATTCTGCTTTTACAGGGAGGAGACAAATTGCAGGATGCCTATTATATCTTCCTCGACCTAGCAGACAAGAACACTGCAACCCCACTTCTTCTGAATGCACAAGCAGCTGCTTTTCTTCAGCAGGGAAAATATGATGAGGCAGAGGGCGCCCTTCAAGATGCTCTTGAAAAGGTAAATTGTATTGTTGTGTGGGGGTGTTTTTCAGACAGTTTCTTATATTTCCAAATCAGTTGAAGTCAGACATTGGTCTAGACATTAGACAGAATCTGTTGTAACATTTTTGGGTCTTACAGACAAAAATATGAAATCCTTTGCTTGTCTTTGTTCCTCAAATCACAAATAATAAAAACATTTGTTCAGCTCTGTCCCCACTGTCAAATTTTCTTTGACAAATATCTGTTGTATGCCCATATATAGTCATGATGTGCCCATATATAGTCATGATGTGCCCATATATAGTCAGGATGTGCCCATATATAGTCATGATGTGCCCATATATAGTCATGATGTGCCTATATATAATCATGAGATGGTATCATCATGTTTTTGTCAAATAAACTCAGAACAAATAGATAGCTCTCATTTGTGTAAGATATAAAGTGTGTTACAAAATAGCGTAGCTTTTCTACGGCCTCTAGGCACTTCTACTTCCTTTTTAATTTGTCAGCGCAGAAATAAAACAGGAGGATAACTAACATGAATGATATGTTTATTGCTTATTTACTGTTATTAACCCTTAGGACAGCAACAACCCAGAGACCCTTATTAACATGATAGTCTTGGCACAGCATATGGGCAAGGCGCCTGAGGTAAGTGATCAATTGACTGATTATTATGTAAAGTTTACGATGCTTTGTTATCAACAATTCTGCATGTATGTATTAATCATGTGCAACAACAAAATGAACATCAAATCCATCTTCTTGAAATTGAGAAAGTGGGTTCCAAGTGTACAACAAATATAAAAATAAGAATAATAAATGATAAAATACATAAATAATATTAATGGCATGCGTTTTTAAGTTTTAATTTTTTTATATTTTATGAAGTTTATAGATTTTTTTCAGGTCAGTAAGAAGATTATCTTATTGTTCATTATGATCAATGTGTAAATGGGGTAAATATCTGCCAACATACAATTTATTAATTGTATTGGGTGTGCTTTTAATTTTTTTTTTTCTATGATATAGGTAAGCAATCGTTATATTACACAACTGAAGGACTCCAACAGCAATCACCCTTTTGTACAGGACATCATTAGTAAGGTATGTAAATAATAATTGATGTTTATTTTATTTCAAACCTATTTATACTTAATAAATTTCCAGATGGTGTACTATTTTTTTTAACAATGGCCTTGTTTCAGATCTATCTAAATGTTATAATACTGTACTTAAAATCTATTGAGTTACTGTTTTTTTGGTTTTTATAAACAATTTTTGAGGTTTTATTCATATTTCACTACAGAGTTTTGTGCAGTCATGTGTAACCTTCACACAATCGTTAACTTCAAAGCTGCCCTTCTTAATTCTGCTAGAAATACTGAAACCAAAATATCATTTACTCCTTATTGTAATATGAGCTGCCATTCTAAAGCTGATGAAATATCGATTAGGATTTTTTGCATGTAAGGTTTATATATTCTTGTTCTGGTTACTTATATTGACTGTTAGGCATCTATCATGGGATCCACAACTGTATTGCTATTCCCCCGCCATGCATGGTCCTACCCTACAACCTAATGGCAGGCACACACTGTGCTGTGTTCACTTGACAATTGACACTGGAGCAGAGAATGATTCTTCTGGCTTCACAACGTTATATACCACTTCATTTGCATATTAGCTACCCATGTGCATATCGCATCATATTTTAATACCATTGGATTGGCAAACTGATGATTTGTGACATTGACCCCCTGATGTTCTGGTGTTTTATAGAAAATAGTTTTAATTACTAATTATTATTAATTCTTTCATTTATTTACAGTATCTCAAAACATTAAAATTTACAAAAATAGAAACAGCAAAGAACAAGCACAAAAGAACACGGGAGACAGGAACGCCCCGAAAGTAAATTTTATCACTGTCGAGTGGGGCCCCTCTGACAAAAGAAATGGCTTACAATATACGATTTTGCTTAAAGATAAAACATCTGAAGGCATATTAAATATTAAAGGCATTCATGTCTTTCATTTTTTTATGGAAGGATGTTACATGCAATTCCCAATTTTGTGGTGATGAGATTGCATTTTGGAAGCTAATTGAAAAATTGACTTAGTAGCATATTGCATACATTACATTTGCTCTCATGGTATTCCCGTGAGATATATTAGCTAATATACAATTTACGAGTTTTGATATGTAAACTGTGATTTCAATTAGACCGTAGTTTTCCCGTTGATAATAGCAGTAATCTGTCAAGACACACAAAACACATTTGAAAACTGCTAGATCGTAAAGAAATAAATGCATCTCTGAATAGACAAATTTTGGGAAGTATTGAAAGAAGCAGAGAATGAAGAATGTGAGTGGGTGAATGAATGAGTTTTGTATTGATTTTATGAATGAATGTATGCATACTGTATATTAATGAATCAGTGAATAGTGAAAAAACAGCATATTCACTTTCATAATGAAGATTTTTTTTATAGCTTCCATAGAAATCATAGAATAGTAATAGTTGTGGACTAATAGCCCAAATACTGCATGGTCTTTATGCACTTAGTGCTGGTCACCTCTTCAAATATTTATAACTATCCGTATTTATTCAAATAAACGCCCCGCTTTGAATATATGCCCCTCTCGAATAAAGACCCCCTTCAGAGCCTCATTCTGAATATATACACATTCTCCCATCTCCATTCCCCCAACCCCCCCCCCCCCTAAAAATTACAGTAAAAAAGAATAATTGAAGATATCGCTCTCAATATTTTTTTTATTAATATTTTACTCCAGTAGAATTACATTTTTTCTAACTTTAGGATCACACTATAACACATTTTGATGGTAATTATGTGTTGTTCTGTAGTTCCCTATTTTCAGTGAAAGTAGGGGCATTTATTTTTTAGTATACATATCCATTAATACACCAAAAAAAATAAATGCCTCCTTGGAATAATCACCTCCCTTGAATAAACCCCTCCCAAAATAAGAACCCCTTCTCAACAATAAACACCCAAGGCTATTGTTCAAATAAATATGGATATGCTAAACAATTAGCTGCCCTCTTCCATTGCACTCTCCTCTCCCCCCCTTTTTTTTGAATTTGCCTGTGGTTATTGGATATAACAATTATCATACACAGTGTACAACCACTTCAGTTCCCTCTTCAAAATCAATACAGTTTATTTTCATTGCACAACAATTGACATTCAGACTGGTTTCCATTTATACTGCTGGATACAGACAATTGTGACCGACATCAAAGTCAAACTCATGACCTTTTCATTAGATGCCTAAAGTCATGTCGCTGCGTCAGACTAGCGATGATATTAGATTTGTTAGGAAAAGTTATTTTGATTTCTGTATTTCTATTAAATCAGAATGTACAGACAATTTGAAAAGGTTATTTTGATTAAATTGTTGGAAAGAACGTACCTCCAAATGCTAAACAAGTGATTTACTGTGTCTATAAATGAATCAGTTTGATGCAGCATGTTATAGATGAAATTCAGTGGCTTGTTTTCACTCCTGTCTCTTATACACATCTAGATGTGTATAAGAGACAGGGTATTGCATGGGGAGGGGGAGGGGTATTGCATGTAAATGTGGACGACTTATGAGTAGATTTCAAATCATACTTTTACATTTTTTTTTCCCAGTTACATATTTTAAAATATATACTGTTGATTGACACAGTGTATTTTTTCCGCTGAATATTAATAATATTAGAATAAAAGCTCATCTTTCTTGGTTTGCAAATAAAATCAAATTGCTTAATATTCTTTATAATACATTGGTTTTTCTGCTGCCTTGGAATTGCCATTGTTTGTATCCTGACCTTTTTTTTTCTTAACATTATTTTATACAAATATGTTGTGTTGTTTGTAATATCTAAAATGTTACATCACCTTTAACATTAAACCATAGAGCTTGTAGTTACAGACTCACTTCATTTCACACAGCTGTCATTATGCAAATTATTAACAGATAAATGATCAAACCATAAAGTTATAATAAGAATACTAGAGCACTAAATCTTTTGGATACAGCTATGTTGAAACTTGAGTGTTGCTGTGTAGCCTACAGTACACAATTTTGATTTTATTCCTCAGAACTTTTTTTTAAACCAGATAATCTTCTTGGCCTCTTTTTGGCTACAATAGTCTAATAATTTATTAATGTTAATAATAATGATTAATGAAATAATAGTCAGAGGGATTATTTACGATTATATTATGTATAATAAGCCTGAAGGTGGCGCTTTTCTATGGCGGCCATCTTGGATGGTGCACATAAACAACTGCATTTCCTCATCACCTTGTCAGCACTCTAGTTGTTTATTAAATAGCTCTATTGATCAAACAGGCAAGTGTCTATTTTTTAAATATTTTGTCTTATATTATTGGCTATGTCATTAGAGACATACGCAATGTGGAAACACCACCGCTCCGTTGCGAGCATGCTGGGTCGTGTATAGATACTCCATATAGAACGAATACAGCCAAAACTTGCATCCTAACTTATGCTTATTTACACTTCTGGGTGAAAAGGACAAACCGTAGATAAATTGCTTTGCCCAAAGATAGATGTGCATATTTAGCATCTTAAATTTCCTTATGCACTGATAAATAACCTTTTGATATGCAATAATCAATATAGGTAGTTCCCCACGCCTGCAATTCTATGCTGTGTAAATACATTTTGTAGCTCATTCCAGAACCTTAGTTTTATGAAATTACACCCACTCACTCTATAAATTATTGTGTTTTTATCATTGTTCAGTGCTCCAATTCTTAGTCTAATATCTGAAGTGGAACTACAGGTTAGTAATTAAGCAAAGAACGCCCTCATCCAGGATTGAGCAATTCAATATCTAAACCCAAGAGATAGCAATTAAAGTATGTTTGTGATTGAATATTCAGTTGACATATGTATATAGTACAATCAATCACAGCTTTACTCATTTATCTCCTCAATTCCTTGTTATGAAAAAAATTGTTTGCGTTCTTAGTGCACTTATTGTTTACAAAATATCTCAGTCTGTAATTTTTTTCAAGGACCCATTTAAATTTGTATTGTTAATTGAATATGTGTATAGTACAATCAATCACAGCTTTACTCATTTTTCTCTTTGATTCCATGTTATGAAAAAAAAATTGTGTTTTTAGTGCACTCAGTCCTGTAATTTTTCATAATCAAAATCCCTAATTTCCAACCTACTGAAATAGAGGATTAGAAAATATTAAATTGTACCCAAGCCAAATGTTCCCCTGTATTTGCGGCTGGTAAACCATACAGTTACGTAGGGTGTGATCCTTTCAGCTTTTTCTAGAAGGTAAGCTGATCTTCAAGGGCCCATTTAAATAACAATTGAAGTTAATGTAATGCTTTTATGAAAATTAAAATTGTTTTCCAGTAATGAGAAAAAATGCTGTACTGTCATATCATTTGATAATGGGGCTCAAGAAAAGAGCGTTCACATCGCGGCCTTTTTCCTACCAATCCTTTCACCACTGTATACACAAAATTTGTATCGTTGAGTTCTTAGCACAAACCAACATAGCTCAACAGAGTATGAACTTGTGTATTGATCGCAAGACCCTGCAGTTGGTAGGGGAAACAGTTTAACCACCAAACTACATACAGGTTCACTACAGTTCACATGTTGAACCTTGTTTTGATTTTAAGTTAATAAATCTTTTATGTAAGATGAGCGGCGGCTTAACAGACCATCCTTCTACTAACGAATGAACCATCTAGGGAAATACGTTTGACCATTTATATTGAAGCGTAACGCTGGAAGGAAATGAAACTAATAGCAGTGGCCGAGGTTATTTAGAAGAATATTGACTGATATACAGTAATAGTTATCGGAAATAATGTGTTGTTCAACTTTAACCTTTAAATAACATCCAGAGGGAAGGAGATGTGGATGGTTCTCTACTAAATTATTGTAATTTTAACGATTTTGGACATTGTTCATTAGTTGTGATAATGGCTTTCTCCAGCTTAATGATTTGACCCTTTGCACGATTCTGACCTACTACACATTGTGGAAACTAATTTTGGGTAACCAGTATTGAGTATTTCAACATTATCAT